TGTCTTTACGGCGATGCTTTAGAATCAAGTAGCAGCTAAGATAATGGTGACAATCATTTCCTGCATTGCTCTACATATGGAAAGTATTTTAGACCCTAGACAGACGGGAGCAGTTGAGGCTGGAGATGTTGAGTGTGGATGAAATGTGATGGTCAAAGATGTGTGCTTGGCTTGTGTATTTTACTGGAATCACAGAGCTAATAACTGGCTGTTCCTGGGGAAAATAGGCTGTACACAATCTTGGTTCTTTCTCCAGACAAATCTCTTCAGTATCTTGAGAGATCAGAGCACTGCAAGCATGCCATGATGTCTCTGTGTGGCCTTGTTCCACTGAATGCTATGTTGAAATGTTAGCTGATGAAAGGCAGCCTTATGGTCATTGAAGTCAGGGATCACTACTTACTGGCTCCGCTGCTCTTGTGGAATTTCTCCACTACTTCTATATTTCTCGTATATTACAGTTCTCACTGGCCTGTCGCCCTCTGTGTGTGACCAGGTGCATGCCAGTGCCTCTGAAGAGGTATTTATTCTTGATTCCTCCAGGCCTGGTGGGAGTAGCTTGTGTTGTAGTGTGGTACTGTGTAGTCAAATGAACAGTACAGTGGCTTCTATTTCTGAGCAGAAACTGTATGACAGAGATCATGCAACTCATGCCCCTTCTACTGCTGACTTAGAAAAGGTTTTATTCAAGTTGCTGCACCTTAGCTTCTCTATCTGTAAAGCTTTACTTCCTTCTTCACATGGAAATCTTTCAGGGCAAAGTGTTATTTAAGGGTTGTATTCATACAGATATTTTATGACATCTTAAACATACAGAAAATATGTTGTAACTTTGAATACCTAATGTTTGAACAGAACCATTTCAGGCACATGTACTTTTTCAGTCCAGGGTTACACTGAACACTTAAGCCAGCTGATAATATCATGTGAGTGTCATAATAATCATAATGGTTTCATTGCAGATGTTCCTGTACTTCAGTGAACTGGGGCTGGTTACATGCTCTGCTGACCATCTCATTATTTTGTGGAAGGATGGTGAACGCGAATCTAGACTCCGCAGTTTAACGTTATTTCAGAAACTGGCACAAAGTGGTGATCTGCAACCAAAATTTTAAATTGCTTGAATACAGGCTAAATATGCATAACTGGATATACATTAAATGTGAATGTGAAGGAAAGTCTGCAGTCTTACTGTGGGTTAACCTACACTGGAGTTGATATAACACCACTGTGATGTCTACCATGAAGTGTGATTGATTCAAGTTAGTCATTGCATAGTGTACTCATTGAATTCATTTGTCTGTCATGGAGGTGCAGTCCTTACTGGGGATTTTCAGGATGTAAAATATTTTCATAACCAGTAGTAATTGATCTGTTCTGTCAGCTGAACACTTGAATAAAATTTGACTGCAAAGAAACTTACTTTATGTATGTAAGTCCAGATAGTATTTTAGAGTTTAAAAACATAAAGCCTCCAAGTACACAATGCCTTTTTCAAGTCTGAGAAAGAGGTAGTAGTCTGCAAAGCTGAACAGATTTGAAAACAAACATAATTAAAAAAAAAGAAAAGTGCTGGGGGAAAAGAAAAACAACCAATCAAAAACTCTCCAATCCCCCAAAACCCTCCACTGAGTTAAATCCAGAACAGTTATTTATAATCATCATGAGATGGGAAATAGGGGAAGGAATTACCAAAATCAGTGGAAAGAAAGTGGGATGAGGATGGATTACCATCCTTCTACTGCTCTTTCTGGAACAGAGAGGACCCAGGGTCAAGAAGACTTGAGGAATTTAAAATAGGGCTCCAGTGTCCTCAGTTCTGCTCCTCAGACCCAGCACTCAAAACAGCTCAGGATACGTCTTCTGGAACTTTCCAATGCCATTGCTTCGTTTTGAATCAGTGAGTTAACTGTTTTCAGTACTGTAGACTCCAGTGGCTTAAGTCCAGGTTTGAAGTCCAGCAGCTGCAGTATAAGTAATTAGAACAGAGCCAAGTGGATCCTGACCAGAGCAAAAGCAAGAGGAGGCACTCCAACTTCCTAGGAGGAGCTGAAGAAACTTAGATTTGCTTTCCCCAGCTCTCATGGATACACGCATTTCCTGTAACACCCAAAAGACAAACATTGCCTTTTTAAGTCTCAACATAAGGGAGAGCAGAGAACAATAACATTTTAGGCTGTATTTTTCCCTGCTTTTGTGAGTCTGTTGAATTTAGAACCCCAAATGGCATTAAAAAACAAAAAGAAAATGGAGAAATTGTTGAGTAATGTTTCCCTTTATATTCAGGAAGGTGAAGTCAGCTTTAAATCTTGAACTGCATGTTTTTTTCTTGAGATGGCCATCCTATGGGAGGGAAAGAGATTGGATTACAGATGGTTACAGCATGTTTTTGGGTATGTGTTACTACACATGTGAGGATGAAAGCATGTTAGCCTCATCTGCTCATTAGTCTCTAATGCACTGTTTCAGATAGCGTTCCTCAGTAAGTGTTGCAATCCGTACAACTGACGTACAAAGTGGGAGAGGAAGTTCCTCTTTGGCTCTTTTTCCCCATTGTGCTCAGGCAGCCCAAGGGCCAGCTGCACCCTGGAGTGCACCAGGCCCAGTGAGCGAGGCGAGGGGTTGTGCCACTCTGCTCTGTGCTCTGTGGCCTCACCTCCTGCACTGGATGCCATTGTAATCACACAAGATAAGGAGAGTGTCCAAAGGAGGGCTGCAAAGCTGGTGAAAAGTTTGGAGGGCAACGGGCGTTTCATTGTTTTTATGATTCCTTTTAAATTTCTATTTCCAGATCTCAGTAAAGCAGAATTCTGTATGTTCTTGTGAAAGTAAATGTCTTTGTCAGAAATAGCCTTAATATCGATACAGAGAAAAGAGGCAATTTAAGCATGTATGTACTGATAACAGTATGAAGCAACAGACTTAGTCACTGGGACAGGTAGGAGTCTGACAAAAGTGGTACATAAAGATCAATTCATGCTTGTTTCTTCTACTCTTACAGAGGAGTAATACTCCACATGAGTTACTTCTTTACTTTGGGTAAAAAAATACACAGGATGTGGCAACAAATATTTCACATTAATGCTTTAAGTCAGGTACTGAGACTGAACTTTTATTTCTTACATCCCTTCTACCATTGACATTCCTCTTTGTGTGACAGAGCTATGACAGTACTGAATTGAAATGTTTTACATGGTTATGGTCTTACAGTTACGCAGTATGATCTTACAGCATTTAATAAATTAAGAGGACAAAGTTTTGGAAGTTTAAATTCTTTTCTCTAATGCATGCTGCAGTGAGCATTCAGTCATTGGAATAGTTAAGATACAACCACTGAGAGCACTAGTTCTAGATAAAGGAATGGTAAAAGCAGTTTACTGTATAAAAAACAGAGGTTCAACTCATCTGAATAAAAATCCATTGAAAAAATGTTGCATATATATTCATTATTTCTTATATCTTTCACCAGAAACACCATTCTTCAAATGTACACAGTGCAGCATTTTAACACATAGCAACCAAAAGTATGATTCTATTACAATTCTAACAAAAATATACCTTATATACATTTTTTTCTGCACATACATTTTATGAATGTTTCATTTTGTTTTCCAGACCTGGTACAAAACATACAAAAAAGGTTGGCACATTACATAAGCTACCTGCAGTAAACAATCACGGTCACTTTTCTTCCACAGCTATCTAAGCTCCTTGTATTTCTTTCTTAGTTCAGTTGTAGATACAGTGTAAGGGTGTGGAAAAGAGTCTGCCTTGAGACCCTTCATTTCAACTCAAGTCACTGATTTGATGCTTTTGCCCGCAGTGCAAAGTGTTTAAAAATCAGCAGTTCTGCCATTTTTAACTGAATAATCGGAGAACAGTCTAAAATCTGAACTCATGTTCATGGTCTGCATGTGGTTAAAATGAGATGTACAAAAATACACATTTGTGCTTAGGAAGCTTTAGCATAAATTTCGTATTTAAAACCAATGAAAAACTATGTCTGCTTTCTGACTTATTTACAACTTTTGGAATGTTGTGGGGTTTTTTTGTTTTTTTTGTTTACATGACCAAACAAAGCAGCATTTTGTTAGGAAGGAAGAAGCAGTACAAACTGTTAATGCTGTTATAAATTATAACCTGGAAACTTTTTTTTTAGAGGTGAAGGTTCATCTGATAAGTATGTAGCATAATATATGGCTTGTCATAAAGCTTAGATCAGTTTAATAAAATTGATGACCATGTACAACCATCACATTATAAAAAGAGATGTCAATCAACTGCCACAATGGTTTATATGTAAAACTTGACAAAGTGTCACATGTTAACATCTAAGATGGCAAAGAAAAATGTGGATGGCACCAATTACACAGAACTTGCTTATTTTCCTCCGCTGTATAACCCATTTACGGGAATTTCACTTCTTATATAGAAAAGGAAGGGCAGGTTTATATTGTCTGTAATGAAAGTTTTGCTTTTAACGGTGCTGGGTTTGTTTTTAGTGTGCCCAGTTTCTTGAGGTTTACTTGTTCTACTGTGCATGCTCTCTCTACAGCTGTGGTTGAAAGAGCTAAAGAACATTGGCAGAATTGGAGCAAATTTATGCTAGGTAACTGAGAAGTGTTTATAGTTGTTTTTCAACTTACTATTTTCCTGGTGACTAGATTACCTGTTTCTGAGAAACAGCTGTGTGAAGTGTTAGCGGATACAGTTGCATTTGATTCAAGATTCGACAGATTTATATTTGTTACTAGAAATTAGTTTTGGAAGTACCTTATCTGCCATAAAATGATATTTCCAAAGTGCACTTGTTTATGGCCTTTTTGAAAATATTTTTGTGTGGAATTCAGAGAAGCTTAAAAATGGTAGATAAAATACTTTGTTCTTCACAAACAGTCTAGTTTCACTTGAAAGGAAACACTATCCCCGTTGTATCCAAGTTAGTAAGCAATTCACAGTGGAACTGGTAGATTGGGAGGTCTGTTTTTCTTGTTTTAGTGTCAGTTGTTGTTTTCTGATGGAAGCCTGAGACTCTTGCATTTTAACTCATCCAGCATTTTCCAGTGTTTGTAGTTATTGGCCAAGTGTTGCATCAAAACAGGCAGGTGTGCAAATGCTGAAACAGAGGAACAATTTTGCTACGTGTACAAAAAGTACAGCAGAACAGCCCAGCCTTGTCTAAAACCAGCATTCTCCTATCTCTTGTAAGTTAATGCTAACAGGGAAAGATTTTTTTCAGTCTTTCTCCTTCAAGTGAACCCCTTTCTTAGTTTATAAGGAGTTTAGCCATTTATTCCTATCATGCAAATACTTTGATGTTGGTTTCTGCTTTTCAGGAAAAAAGACCTAGATAGAAGAACTTAGATTTAAGCTACTATTCCTTCTCTCTTTACATAATTGGTAAGTACTCAGCTTTTGTGAAATGGGAAGTTCACACTGCATGGTGACAGAAACCAAATTCAACATCAAGCTGTACTGCAGACTGAAGGCTGTATACTAAATACTGTGCTGCCCCTGTGGAAAAACAGACTAATGGCTAGTTTGAGATTATTCTTTTTAATCTGTACAAATTGCTGCCTCAGAGCCAGGAAAAAGATGGAGAACTACTTACCATCCCATGCATCGAACATGTCTGTTATAAAATAATCAATGAAGGAAATCTGAGACTTGGGAATGCTGCAGGTATTTCTATCAAATACTGGCATCACAACAGGGAGACCCTGTCTCTTCTCTTCATCTGTCTAAGAAAATGAAACACCAGTTAGCCTCTGCAGCTTTCCTGCCTTTCCTGTTGGAAGAGCAAAGGCCAGTCCCAGGTCCCTGGGACTAAGTGAATTGCAGTGGGAGGCTTCAGACAAAAGTTTGAACCCCAAAGGTGAACTTCCTGTGCTTTACTTCCTCTGGAACAGGGACTAAAATTAACATCTCTTCCACCCGCAAGTGCTGCTGCTGGGGTGCTGTGACTGTTCTTAGCTCAAGTAAGACAGAACACTGTAATCTCGTGATTGGGGCACACCAGTTAAAAATGGAAAATGGAGTTTCAGAGTCCCTTAGCAAAGAACAGATTTGAACTCTTCCACAGCTATGTCTGCTGTTCCAAAACATTTATCTTTTAAGTAAGAGGGATGTTGCTGCTGAACTTTGCTTCTCTCGTGTTAAACAGAAGTCAGAATATGCCCTTTAACTGCCCATAAATGTAAGAGGGCTGACTGTGTTGTTCTTAGTGTGGTGGTGGAGCCAACCAGCCCAATCACAATTGTAACACACAAGTGAAGTACTTTTGTCAGAACTGAATACTGGACTTGGCAGCAAAGCAGCCCCAAGATTACCAGATGAAGTGAATGAAAAGGAGAGCAGTTCTCAACACCTTATACTGCTGTAGGCTTGCTACTGCCCAAGATTGGCAATTTAAAACTAGCTTGCCTGCTAGTATGCTACCGTGGAGGCTTGAGAGATGCACCTCAAAGCAATCCTTGATCTTGCTCTGAAAACAATCAAATGTATTCAGGAGGATTAAAATAAAATTAACAGGTCCTATTCACTAATATTCTTTCCTCCCAGTAACAACTATTGTCTTTATGCTCTGAATTTGCATGGCAGGCATGCTAGGACGTCCATCTATCCTTCTGTCTCTCTATTCCAAGCTGTAGGTTTCCATGCCATTAGCAGCAAATAAAAGCTAAGAAAACACTTACTCAAAATACAAAACCTAAAGAGTGTTTCACTGCAAAGACACTTCTGTTTGTGTTAAAAACATGAAGTATTAAGAAAGGAAATTGGGCTTCCAGTTTAGTTCTTAGGGATCCCATGCAATTTAAGCATTTTTATGCCCATGTGCCTGTATACTGGCCTGCCCCATCCTCTGCCTATGGTAATGATCCTTCAGGTACCATCTCAGAAGAGAAAGTGTCAGCATCAGATTCAGCTGAAGGGTTCGTCAGGCATGGAATTGCTCGTCATGCTCTGTTCAGGGCAGGTATTGACTGGGACCAGAAGCTAGAACGGCGACGATGATTGAATGTTAGACAAATAAATTTACTGAAGTTAATCAAGTAACTTGGTTTCTGTTAGATGGAGAAAGTATGATGTATAAAGCCTTTCTGCCATTCTGTACCACAAGCTTCAGAAGAAACAAATGAACTAACTTTAGAGTGAATTCTTCTCATGAATGGGGAGAAAACTACTGTAGGGTCCGTGGTGATGCCAGACAGATTCCACTGGAACAACAGTGCTAATAGCCGCCTTCTTACACAGGATAGTAATCCAGTGATAAAAATGTACATACCTGTGCAAAATATTCCTCTGAAATCCTCCCTGCCCATTCAATACATAGTTCTAGGGGACGACATGGATTTGCTACATCTGCACATTTAATCATCATACGCTTGATCAGTGTTTGGTTATCTGGAAAGTTCTTCATGTTGGCTGTACATTCACAGTCACTGCCTTCACTCTGTAACAGAGAGTTGATTATAAATACTGATGGCCAGCATCCCTGCTAGGAGTAAATGTATCATTATTAGCAGTGCTTATGTGGCAGGTAGGTACCCAGCCTGGTGCTTTCTCCCTCCATGCAGAGTACCAGGAAGTCAGAGGAGAAAGCAATGTCTGACAACAGCAGCCTTGCAGAGTAGCTGATGGTAGCAGCACCACTGGTAGTAGTCTGGGAGGTTTGCAGAAATAATGTATTTTGTGAAATAAATAGAGGCTCTGTTAGCTAGGGTAGGTCACCCTTGCCTTTTGGGAACTGGATTGGAGCAGGGAGTCATCCATCTACAGCAAGCTGACAAAACATTGTCACTGCTGTGTTCAGAGTTTGGGGGCTCTGATGGGAGGAGACTGCTTCATACAGGTGGATGTGTTCTGATTTAATTCACAAATTAAAGTGAGGCAGGCACAGAGGAGTGATTTGATTTGCACAATTTCTTTTAGAGGCAGAAAAGCAAGTGTATGCCACTCAGTTCCACTGTGTTTTTGATGACACTTGCCCCTTTTTGTGCTGGACTTTGTACCTTAGGCTTTGTCTTTGGTACCTGCTAAATTTGAACCTCACCTAATCTAGGAGATTAACAGTAGGAGAATGGAGTAGTAGCAGACTGAGGGCAGACAGTCTCTGCTTTTACAAGGCAGCCACATACTGAAGTGTCCACTGAAGTCTGTGGAGAATGAATGAAGGGAACTGAGCATTTGTGAAATGTCTGCTGTGACATCATCTTCTGGGTCCTGAATAGATTAGAAGGGCACAGGTATCTTATGTTCCTTACTGAGTAATAAGAAGCCTCTACGTCAGCTCGACATGGCATTAATGCTATACTCAAAATAATACATTTGTGTAATTATGGTCTCCCTTCACTGCTAAATTCAACTCTGAGTCAAAAATTGAACATAAATACTTTTTACCACCACTGCTAAGTTAATGTCTTCGTGGTTTATGGGCAGATACTTTGCAGTTGCCAATTCAGCATTAATCTTTTAACTTTATGCTTAGCAGTTAATTTTTTCAGCATGGGCAGCCCAGCAAAGAGCTGCTAGATTAGACCTGCTTGTACACTGCTGTTCAAGATGAAAAAGATTAAGAGAGCCACCACTAAAAATAAGGAACAGAACAACCTACACTAGGGAAAAAAACCAAATCTCTAAGATGTCTGGCTTTTGCTACACTTGTATTGCTTCTAACTCAAGTATGTTTTTAAAAAGCTAGATAAGATAAAGGAGGCTGAATTAAAAAAAAAAGCAAAACAAAACAAAACAGCATGTTTTCTAAAGGTAAGCTGTGGTGATTGGAATAGGAAATACAGCAAGCATACATAAAGCTGTTTAGGAACTGTTAGAACAGATGCATTAATGTAACAGAAGTAAGATTCTCAGGACTGCATTTGGAGCTTGGAAACACTGCGGTTTCAATGGGACTTGTGAACCAATCCTACAGACAGGGATGCCAGAACGTGGACATTTCTTAAGGAAGGAGGTGGAGAAATACATCTGTTCTGCCAAAGGGAGACATGCAGTGCTATCTGAGAGTGCCAATTCCCCTTTGCCAACTCAGAGAGCTTTTCAGAAATTGGAATTTTTCAGAAGTTGGAGCAATTTGCTGTCTCGCACATGTTTTAAGCACAGGCAGAGAAATCTGAAAGTGGCTGATTCTGCTAAGCAAGGCATTATTGTCCTGTGTGCATTGATGTAAGGTGGAATCGCTGCTGTCTTGGCTGGCCTATCCCATGAGAAGAAGCCTGTGAAAAGCTCTGCTTAGGTGGTGTGATGGCAGCACAATGCAGAACAGTGATGGAGACCTCTGTGGTGTTTAACCATTGTCCTGTGCCTGTGAGTTCTGGCAGCACAGATGCATCAGGCAAAGTCAGACGCAGTGCCACATCCAGTGAGCCCTCCAGAGCTTGGAAGCGCTAGGGACTAACAGTACAAAGGGTACACAAAGCCAATGAAATTCAGATGCATTTGTGATTTCCAGCTCAGTCTGCTGGGAGAATGGAGCTCAGTGGTCCTTACAGGCAGGCCAGTTGAAGTCATTCTGAAGTCATAAACCTCACCAGCCCTGATTGGTTTCTGCATCCATAACAGTTTATGGAAGAAAAAGTTGAGTTATGGGGAAGTAATGGAAGCTATTTTAATTTTTTAATATAACTGAACTTTACCTTATTACTTATTCCCATTTCTAATTAAATGCTTCTTTCACCAAGTGGTGATAAGATGATCTTTGTTTAAGTGAGTTACACTGCCAGGCGAACCATGTCAGACAATGTTCAACCTCAAGAGGCAACAAATGAAGGCAAAGAGGGGCCTGAGCTAGTAAACACATAGATAACGCATGAAATAGGCCTGGGCTGGCTGTGGAGCATTAATGTGCATGAATTGACAAGAAAAATGGCCCAGATTGCTTTTGATGAAATCAGAAATGGGGCTGGGGTGGAGAGATGTCAGCAAGCAACAGTTGTTCTTCAAGGCTTGAAGACTCCTGATTGCACAGGAACAAAACTGCAGTTTCCTCAGTTAGAGCCCTAGGCTTAGAGAGGTCCCTCTGCTGAGAGGCAGGATTGTAGGCACAGGTGTTGTTTTTTTTTTTTTGCATTACAAAAGCATCTACTTCCATGTCCCGGGATCACAAAACAGCTTTGAGAGCAAGGCTTATAAAATAGAAGTAAGCTAAATGCAGTGTCCAGACATGCACAGAAAATTTAAGGACGTATTTTTTCATACATTGAAGTGTGAGATCACAATTCCAGTTGTGTCCTTCAGGCAAGTTCATTCAGTGTGAATGAAATGATACCTTATGTTGTGTTGGAGAAATTTCACTGAAATGCCGAAAGGTGCAAAGTCATGCAGACACTTACATGTGAGGTGGTCTCCTCAGATGCCATTGGCTTGTTGATGCTGTTCACAAATTTGTTCACGTGTTCAAAGTGCTTTGTCATCTCTGTTGCCAGAACCATATCAATAATGGCCTGGCGCAATGTCCGATAGTGATTTCTAGGAAACAAAAGTAGTTCTTGCTCACAGTCCTGCCAGACAGAACCTTGTCCTTCCCTTGTCCCTTCCCAGACTGTTGAAAACACAGCTCACCCACATGAGCTGCTCACCCACATGAGCTGATGCTTTCATGGCTATGGAAGGTGCAGGGTTTGAAGGGCCTGCCAGCTGCACCATGCCACTGCAGTCCATCAAGGATTACCAAATACCCATGTGCTTCCAAATAATACAAAACATATGGTGCGACAAAATGCAGAGCACAGGGGGTGGAGGAATCAAAACCTATTTTAGAATAATGTTTACTTGGGATTCTGAAAAGGTTAGTTATCAGTGTCTCCATTCAAATTACATTTCCTGGTTCAAAAGTTAGGTTCTTATCTGCCCCAGACTGAAAACCCCAAACAACAAACCCATGCAGACATACTGCCCTACTCCAGCAGACCCACCTATCAATATTCTTGAAAATGTTGCATTTGCTGTCCTTAGCTGTCAGCTGAAATGCCAGTGCTGTGTGATGGCTCTCTAGCACAGCAGTATCATTGTAAAGGACAGCTAATTCACTGCCTGCATTGCAGAGGAAAGAGTTGGTCCGTCCAGGGTGATCTACATCATGAATGGTGGCTGCTATCAATGCAGCCACTTCATCTAAGTGGCCAAGGCTTCCCTACAGATGAGAGAGAGATCATGACATGGCACAAAAATTACGACAAAATAATTTATAATCATTTCTGTGTACTCACAAATATACAACCTTAAGCTCGAGCGCAGGGACGCACCTCCTTGCAGTCATTTCTCACTCACTGTGCACACTGGTTATCTTCTCCAAAGTCCTCTATCCTTGCCCAAACCCTACTTTATTAATTTACATTTTACTGTATTGTCACCTAACAACATCCTCTTGTGCACACTTCCACTTTGCACATCTCTCTGAATGGCTCTATACTAACAGTACTCCTACAGACCTTGTATGTTCTGCAAAGCTTTACAAAGAACCAACAGTCAGTTAATAATAGAAAAGATTTTTTTTTCCTTTACTGTCACTAGTTATAAGTATAAATTCCTTCCTCCTATCAACAGACTTCAGATAAACTGTGTGGGCCTGCAGGCATCACAGGAAAAGATTTCGAGGGCAGAGTAACTTTATGGATCCCGGACCATTATTTGAGTAAACAAATGACTTTGAATGATGCACATAAAATGGCAGTTCAGTGTGGCACCTGAGCAAGCATACCCAACTCCTAGCTCCTGGCAACAGTTTTACCTTAACTCTCTCCTTTCCCAGAAAGAAGGCAGTAGCATGCAGGACGTCCGCAGCGTGCGTGGAGTTGTGGTATGCATTGGAGGAGTGGTAGTTGGCTTCCATCACCTGCAGCCATGCTCGCAGTGTGGCTTCTGAGCAGTTCAAAAACTCAGGGACCCCAAACCGGCCAAAAACTTTTAAGCCTAAATATACTAGTGGCCTAGAAAACAACAACAGAAAATAGCACTGCTGTAATGTAAGTACTTCTAAAGAATGACGTTTCTGTCAAAGAAACCAAGACCTTAACAATAAAAGGTGGGGGGAATATTAAGCACCTTTATTGCGCACCTGAACCTCTATAAAGCCTAATCAATTAGGTTTCAAATGGTTACATCTTCTTTCAGATTTGATGTGTTTTGCAAAGTGGCACAGTTCCACTACAGATTCACCGATTCTTAAGATTTTAACTTCGGCTTCAAGAAGACTCAGATAAAAATGCTTAAAAGCTCTGTTCCTTTGTGTTTTGAGTATCTGTCAATCAATCAAAAATACATTTTCTTTTGAAGAGAAAAAAGCACAATTTCAACACAGCCACATCCCGAAGTCTAAAAAACAATAAGATAAAGTGCCAAAAACTTAGAGTTTCACATAATCTTACCACTCCATGGGTACAGATTCCTACTTCCTGAATGTATCAGGTTGGCAATATGCAAACTGTATTGATTACGTCTTACAATCATTACAATCAATTCATCAATCTCAGGCTCTTGATCCTATCGCTGGCTTATCCTCCAGCCCAGTTTCTGTCCTTATAATCAAAAGCCACAGTTGTCTCACAGCTCACAAAATCATAGGGTGATTTAGTCGATGGAGGGGAGCAGCTTGCTTGCAGCCCGACCATCTGCACAGTAGCAGGAATGAGGGCATCGGTGGGACATCTAGAACGTAAGAACACTGGGCTGTGATGGTGTGACCTGAGAAAGCTGGGGGGAGACAAACAAGTAGGAGTTCAACAGAAGTTGAACCTGGGAGGGTCGGAGATGAAGTCAGGGAAGACAACAGCCTGCAAAAAGCTTCCTGTGGCCTGTGCATATATCTTAAAGCTGATGCATGCTTTGCTTGTAGATGTTGTAGGTGGTATGGACATGTACATGCATGCGCACAGAAAATAGGAAGACAGCTCTCACAGACTTGCAATATCTTTCTTCAGTTTTCCTGAGTAGAGCACTTCATGCTACAGCACCTCAGTGACAGTTTCATGGACACCCAGAGAAAGGATTCAAGTACCTTTTATTTGTAACAGCTTCCAATTCAAAGATATTGAAGTCCCAGCTTTCCTCATTATCCAGGAGCTGTGCAATACAAGGTGGAACATCATTGATAGTATTTGGCACTGAAAGGTGACTATGGCTCAGGTTCATATCTGTTGAAATAGAATTTGGGAATTACAGCATTTATGGATTTTTTCTTCTTACATGCAGTATTCTATTTAGAAAACAATTCCTTTAAGAAAAATGACTCCTTCCCTCACAGTACAAAGTTTGTAAAAGCCCACTATATGTGGCTTTTGTCACTTCTGATTGTCTGGAAATAAATGGAATAGATCAACAAATGACAATTTAGTTAAGTTTCTGGTCTGATTTTCCACATTTTAAATGCATTGTTTTAGCTATTTGAACCTGCTTCAGATCCAAAATGGAGGCAGTCCAACACTCACTCTACAGTCACTTAGATGACCATTTCTGAAGACATACATCCCACTGCTAGCATGAATTTCTCTGTCATTAGCATTTAGAAATGAAATCACACATGCAAAGAGAAATTTAAAATGGTGGCTTACTCTTGGAAAACACATACTCATTTCCAGACAGTCTTCTCAAGCCATCCTAAAATAAACAATGTTATTAGAGGCAAGGTGGCAAAAATAATTTCCATGTCTCATTACCTGCTAAAACACTATACACACGCTCCCTCTTAGCTGATGCACCTGGGCGCTGAACGTACTGCTCCTACTTGTAGCACTATAATAGAATTATAAGTGTAATTCTTGCTTTAAACTCTTTCAAAACAGACATGAAAGGATCCAAGGAACACTAGCACGAGACCTCCAGAAATGGTATTACTAACCATACAGTGTACTGCCCTTCTTGACCCCTCCATTCGCACTCTCAGCATTTCACCATTCATGTTAACCACCATCATTTATTTTCTGTTTCCTTCTCTTTACTTTGACAAGGATTAGCTCAGTGTTCATTACAGAATGGGGCAATCCGTGTTGAAATCCAGGCAGTCTGTCTTTGGCAGGCAGTTTTGCTACTGTTAGAGGACCAAAGTCATACCTTGATGAAAGTAAAAGCCACTATTCTCATCTAGTTGTCAGGTTGAGTAGCTGTAGAACAATCCCTCTAATTCCATCTATGTTTCTAGAGTTTCTAAAAAGTATCTACTTGAGACAAAACAGATTAGATGATACGGTTTCTAGCGGAGACAGTGTTCACTCCTGTATGAGAATGAATGCACCCAACTGACTGAGACATAGCTGTGTCTTACCACAAGTAAGCCAAAACGTTTAAGTGAATCAGCAATACATTACAATTCTGCTTCAGCTGCTTGTGGTAGCAGATCACTGAACTGTGATGCATGACACTGGTAACAGTGATTTCATCTTTACTAATTTTACTTACAGTCATCAGACCTCCAACAAGATCACTTGTGTGAGGATCCTCATCTTTGGTACCTAGCTGAGGGGAGTAAAGTTCTGTTGTCCGCAAGATTTCTAGAACTCTGTCCAAGGCTTCTGCTACAGTGATGGGGCTGTTTTCCTGGGCAGCATTAATTATGTTAATAACCTGAAAGCAGATTAGGGAGGTAGGCAAGGAAGAGTGAATACCAAATATTTTTCTTGCTGTGTAAAATTACTAACTGAATTACACTACTTCCCATCTAGCAAATACTGTGTAGTTTCCCTCAGTCCTTTAACTCTGAAAATGTAACTGTGTGCTTTGAGTCCCTGCTACCCATCTGTTGTTTGTTACTAGCAAACTCCTGGGAAGTGAAAGCAGAAGGGTATGAAGAATAGTTGGAGGCAAGCAGACCAACACATATCCACATCACAGTTCTGCAGCACAGCCAGGCTGCTCAGAAGAAATCATTTAGTCCCAAGAAAAAAAAAACAAGAACACCTATGAATCAGATATCCTCACAATGGATGTAAAGCCTTCATTTTCTCAGTGTAGGTGAAAAAGGGCAGAGAGCAGCAACAGTTGAGCTGCGAACGAGGGAGAAGAAGATGGCTCTTTGTTGCCATTCACAGTATGTGTAAGCTGTGATACAGGAAAGTAGCAATGGTGCAGCAGCCCTAAAGACTGCTCCTGGCAATGCCCGGACTCAGATAAAATCTCAGTCAGAACTGCTGCAGGGGCATGACAGGCTGTGCTTGTGGAGAAGGAGAGGAGTTAGCTGCTGGAATGGACAGGCAGGTGCTAGGAAGCAAAGAGCTGGAAGAGTAAAAACTGGATTTTACCAGTTTACCAGGACAGGAGATAGCAGGCGCACTGTTTGATGATATAAATTATCATGCAGCTGGTTTGAGATAGCAGATAGTGTAACATGGATGGTGAAGAAATGAGTGCAAGAAAGTAGGAGACAGAATGCAGTGCAGAGGATGCCTCTTCTGTATGCTGTATTACCAATGGCAAAAGCAAAGATGAGTCTGTGAAGTACGTTTTCTCCTATAAAAGCAGACAACAAAGCAGGTTTCTTTTCCTGCCACAAGCAGAGCACCTAGCATGGACAAACACCCTATTTACCTTTTCTATTTTTTTCTTCATAATTAAGTCTTGGAATGAGAGGTGCAGAAGGGTTTAAGAAAAGAAAGTCTAACTTCAAATATTTTGTTAAATACAAGATGCAGTAAAGATCTGGCTGTACTGCCAAAAACTATGTATTTCCCTATAAGGGCAACTTCAAACTCTGAGCCCGCAGAAAAGGCAATGCTCAGGACTCACCTTTGTGATAGGAGCTTCTATTGTCATTGAGTGGATCCTTGCCATAGAAGAGTACTGCCGGGTCTGTAAACTTGGAGCTGGCATTAGAGAGAGCACTTTTTAGGCATAGCAGAGTGTAAATTAATTATCTGACACCGTTTATCCAATGCCAAAGGCAGCCATTAGGGAACAGCATGCCAGAATCCACTAGTTTCTCCTGAATCTTTTCTTCTGCACTTTTTTGCTTTGCTGCTCCTTTTCCTGCATTGCAGGCTGCCTCCCATGCAGCCACCTCTCACTGCTGCTGTCAGTTTTTCTCCATCCATCCATCCATCCATCCATCCATCCATCCATCCATCCATCCATCCATCCATCCCACACTTCAGCTATACCAAAAGAAAGCTGTACTTACACACTTACACTACGCTGTACTTCATGCCCAGCAACTCCCACTCTGCCCTTGTTTGCCGATGGACTTGAGTCAGCCACAGCTTTTTCTGTGAGAGAATGCAGCCCCCTCATTTCAGTGTTGCAGCTGCTCCAATGAAAGCCATTATTGCACTCTATAAGGTGTGCTTCTCTCACTACACACTGAAGAAGGAGAAAATCTCTGCCACCACCATTCCAGGCCTGCCAGGTAGCCATAGGTGGGATCAAGAGCAGCTCTGCTCTCAAGTAACCAGCAGAAATCAGTCCCTCCATGTCCTCCACCAATGAAGCCACCAATCCTCTCATTGAAGGCACCATGCACTGACATGCAGCACAGTTACACTGATGCTCGTGATGGGGCTTTGCTTTGCAGTTCAGAATAAAGAATTTTTAAAGAAGTTGTAAGACACTGAAGAAATCTCTGATCAATCAATCACCCATGAACCTGCCTAGTTCCTCTTTCACTCTGTGTTTTTCTGCCTCTGTTCTTTATTTCTAACCTTATTCCTAACTGTTTTCTATTTTCTTACCATCACTACTTTGTGAAGTTATCGACTTAACATCAACTGAGTCTTTCCTTCTGTTCTTGCATTTGAAGGAATGGGATTCTGTAAATGCAAAACAAAACCATTTAAAATGTGTCAGTAGTAAATGCTTTTCCAAACTCTGAACACCATTTAAATAATCTTTACTGTACCACGTAAGTGGGGGAAATACTGTAATCTACAGCTCAGAACTGGGGAATGAGGGACTGAGATACAAACTTGGAGCGCACCAAGAAACTTGCCTAAGGACGCCTGGAAAGATGCTGTGGAAGAAGGAGAAGACCATCAATGGAGCAGAGAGCTCACTTTGCCTAACTTCAGCTGCCTAAAAGCAGTCCTCCAGCCTGTCTTTGCCTGAGGTAGCTATCAAAGACCCTTCTGTAGTTACAGAGATAGGCAGTGGCATGCCCACGAACAGTTCATTCTACTTCAGGGTGGACCCCTCCAGCAACCCTTCCTGTTGCTCTCCACTGGCCATTGGACAACCCTGAGTTTAACTGCCCAGAAATTTTGACAAGCAAGAAAAATCCCATCTCAGCCAACACTCTCCTGGCCCCAGCACAAGGACTAATCTGCTCTCTCCATATTCAGACAGCTTTTGTTTTTAATTTCAGTAATTATTCGTAAGCTATGTAAGAAAAATGCAACATATTGAGAACAATTACAAACAATTAACCAGTTGCTGTGGAAATTAACTGTGCACCAAGCTGTCATTCTTGAAATTGCCACTTACTAAAACAAAAAAATAAATAGAAACCCTCGTATTCAGACAAATGGAAAAGCCAGATGAAACAAACTCAAATAAATGACTGAAAAATGCCTCAATTATATATAAAAGAGCACTCTGTAAAATGCAATTTTCCTCCAACACAATGCAGTCTGCCCTCTCCTTTACCCTCAAAAACAACAACGCTGTATCTCTGCAAAAATCTTCATAGTGCCTATTCACAGAGTATCGGAGATCCACTCAAAGATCAGAGATGACAGAAAGCTTTCAAAGGGAGATAACCACTATGTGAAGAATCAGGACCAACCATCATCACCTTTGTCAAGACCGTATATATGCAGCTCCTCTGTAACAAAGCATTAGTATACAGTCCTGCAGAATTAAAAGTATGATGAAAAACGATGAATACAGTTCCTGCCTTAAGAATTTATCCTTGTCCACTCTGAAGAAACTGAAAGCATCTTTTTCCATTGATATCTAAGTGCTACATAATTAAAGCATGTCATTTTATTAATTTATTAAAGCATGATATTTTATTAATTTATTTAGTGTGATCAAGTCTAAATCCCTTTCCTACCTTAACTTTTGCAGGATTTCAAAAGACACTAAAGTGAGAGCAAACATTTACACACAAACAGAGCTGCAAGTGGCAGTTGGAAGTAATAGAACCCTCCTTGTTTTAAATGTCAGCTAGCCAGCTGGAAACTTTGCTGCTGCCATCTGGAGAGAGAAACAGGCATAGAAGAGCTACTCTACAGTAGTTGAAAATATTAAAAAAAAAAAAAAAATTACCCTTCACTGGGTGAGTGGAATCTTCCCATCCAGATTTGTAACAAAACACGAAGAATTGTAGAATCATAGAATGTCTTAGGTAGGAATGGACTTTAAGGACTATCCAGTCCCAACCCACCTGCCATGGGTAGGGAAGGGTCACCCCCAGTCTGGCCTTGAACTCCTCCAGGGACACAGGACCCCCATCTTCTATGGCCTGTGCCACTGCCTCACCACCCTCCAAGTAAATAGTTTCTCCCTAATACCTAAGGCACCTGAAGGTTTAAACCAGTTTGCACTGAAGGTAGAAAAATAATCCCCACGTACTGAGAATTTTGTGTGGATGTGGCCTGGCCAGCAGGGAGAGGGAGGTGGTGGTTTTCCTCTGCTCCATTTTTGTGAGGTCCCATCTGGAGTACAGCGTTCAGCACTGGGATCCCCAGCACAAGAAAGATGTGGGGCTGTCTTACCTGTGCTGTACCCAGACTAACAGTCCCTGTGACTTTTTGGCTACTTGCTTTAATTGTACCATAGCTATCAGTGTGACTTATATGATATCTCTTTCCAGTCTTGCTTGTCACAGTAACAAGAAAGTCTAAACACCTAAATCTTTCAAACAGATTAGTATGCTAATTACATTGTGTTAACTAGTGAGAAGTATTCTGCAACTTAATACACAGGTGTTCTCATCTTCCTCTGTTTGCAGACTCCATTACTAGGAAAGGAGGAACAGTGAGAAAGAGAACCTGCATTTAATACAGCAACACAGCAGCAAACCGTTTAACACAACATGGATCTGTTCTAACGGCAACAACAATAATGAGGATATCAAATTGCATGCGTGGTCTCTTATCCCCACTCTCACCCTCCCTTGCAGATTTTATTCTGCACCACAAAATTCTCCAATGCTTCCACATATTCTTATGTTACTTGGAAAAGCAGTAAATGTCATGAATTCACTTCCTAATCTCTCAGTGCATTATATCCTCCCAAGTGAAAATCAGAAGCTTTCTTATAATGCACAGCAGTGCTGCCCAGTGTTTTCCTTGGGAAGGGTCTTGGGGTCTAGAAAGCAACAAAGTGCAAGGACCTTTCTCTCAGAATAAGGCAGTAGGGCTGCATCTACCTCAGAACAACAGAAGACCATTGCAAACTTCAAATTGTCCTTTAGAGCCTCCTCTAGGAGACCAGGGATGTCTAGGGAAAAGTGTTATTTAAACAGCACTGGAAGGAGTGATTATCTCCTTATGTTCCTTTCTGAAGTCACCGTTAGTAACTTCTGCAAACAGCTCTTGACTGAGATCTTGAATCTTTATGCAAGTAAACAGAGCTTCCTAAGACACAGAGCAAGGGCTGTGCGGATGTTCTGCAACACTACCACCGTGCTCAGGGCTGATGGGACATGACTAGCTTCAGCCTGCACACTGTAGACAGGGCAGATACTCTGGCACAAATAGGCACAGCTTCAATTTTATTTCAAGCAGCAGGAAGTGACAAGGTATGTCAGCTTTGGGATGAGATACAGTGTTTTAATGCAACAAACAGCAACACAACTTGTTTCTGAGCGCTCTGCACAGTAGACTGAATTATTATTGACTTTACAAACCCAATTATAGTGCAACATTTGAGCAGCTGGCCTTTTTTCTGTGAGCACAGGCTCCACAGAAGGAGGAGACAACACAGCAAAGACTGGCCACGACTTCAAGGACAGAAGTATATAAAGGTAAATGATAACATTCTAACCTGACTGAGAACTGTCTCCTGAATAATTCTCATCGCGTTGACTCTTGCAGAGCTGAAGACGCACCAAGAGTAAATTACGTATGTAAAAGAAAAAAAAAACAAAACACACAGAGATTTAAAAAGAGCTACATTCAACACTATCCTTATCCAACAATCACTATTATTTTTATATATATATACATATATAGGAAAAGACTCTCCTTCAGGTGTAATTACAAGTAGAGAAATAATATATAAAGCAAATAAATCACAGATACAGCAGTGCTTTTACGTGGGAACAATCAGTTCCTGTTTAACGCCCAGGTCTGTAAGAGATCTGAGGTTCCTTTTTAGGTAACATTTTAAGTACAAATTTCATATGAACATGGAAGATTCCAGAAATAAAATGCAAAAATAGAGAAAAAAAAAACAAAAAAAACCAAAAACAAACTAAGATGTTATTCATTTCTTGTCTTCTGTACAGTGTTTTTAACATTATTTTCTTTGTACAGTTAAGCCAATTTTGTATACACTCTTTCATGGACTAGTGATAGAATGGATCATTTTCAAAAAAGGCAGAAAAAGAACACTTGACACACTGAGGAGAAGATAGGTCTCATCCATCAGAAATTTATTTCTCAGTGATTTTTAATCACTCCCATGAATGAAAAATATAAAACAAACAAACAAACAAACAAAAACCCAAAAAACCCACAATATCTAATTAGTTTGTGTTTCTGAAACACCTGAAAATTTAACAGATATTTCAGTTTTTCTAGAACTTGAGTAGGACTTTTCCATCATCTTAATGGTTCCACCTACTGCTTGGTAGCACAATAAAAAATTAAAAGCTCTTCTGCTTTTTCATCCCTTTCAGAAACAAACACACAATCTGTCCAACATATGACAATTTAGTATCTGCTGTCCACTCCAGCCCATTCCCATCTACTCTAGACAAACAAGCCTTGAAACTCAACTCTGCTCAAGATGAACAGTCCTTCACGCTGCATTTGCACATCTTTCATTATACATCATACCAAAGAATCCAGTGCAGTTACCTCATCTGCTGTAGGTGATCCTTTGATCAAATCCATTGCCTGCCTGCCTGCCTGCCTATAACAAAACACTAGATTGCAAACTGTTGGTTGCAACCAATAAGTAAAAAGTGAAGTACAGCAAGATAGCATTTATGCATTCTGTGTCCATGTCAGTGTGACAGAGCACGGTGTTGTGCAGCTGCAGGGATTACTCAGGAAAGAAAATAATTACATGAGACCTCTTTTTCATCACTCCTGAGCCCCTTCCATCTTGTTTTTCTTTTTCTTCTGGGGACAGGAGATAAAGAGAAGAAAATGAAGGACAGAAAGCAAAATTAAGGAGTGCTTTACTGTGTGGGGTAAGAATTAAAAAAGGAAGAGGAAATCCTGCAGTAATGTTCTACATAAATCTTGTTAGAGGGAATTTAAGAGGGCACTCTTCCCTCATAAAACTTGTTTTAAAAGCTTAAACATCTCTCCTACAATTATGCAGAAACTCTCACAGAAATTATCTCAACAGAACGAGATTGTGGAAGCTTGTCATACAGTACATTGATACAAGGCATCTGAACTGCTCATTCCAGTCCAAAACTGGAGTTCTTGGATATATCTCTTCCTGCTTCCCTCTACTGAAAGAAAACCATGGCACATTCCTCATTTATACGAAAAATAAACAGCATTTCAGTACTTCTGTAGTATTTCTCTTACCCTTTACTGTAGGCATGATGTCAAAGAGCCATGTAAGTTAAAAAATGAGAGCTGCCCTGACTAAGAAATGTTCTCCTCCTTTCTCATCTATATCTCTCCTCTTGCAGTTTAAAACTGCTTTGCCCTGTCCTATCCCTATCTGTCCGTGTAAAAAGTTCATTTTTCTTCTGTTTATAATTTCCCTTTAAAAACTGCAACTGACGTCATCTACTTGGACTTGTGCAAAGTGTTTGACACTGTCCCACATGACATTCTGGTCACCAAATTGGAGAAAAATGGATTTGATGGATGGATCACTCATTGAATAAGGAATCGGCTGGATGAGACTCAGAGAGCAGTGACCAACAGCTCAATGTCCAAGTGGAGACCAGTGACGAGTGGCTTTCCTCAGGGATTGGTGTTTAACAGTTTTGTGGGTAACACGGACAGTGAGATCAAGTGTATCCTCAGCAAGTCTGCAGACGACAGCAAGCTGAGTAGCTGAGTGCAGTGGACACACTAGAGGGAAGGGATGACATCCAGAGGGACCTGGACAGCCTTGAGAGGTGGGCCCATGGCAACCTCATGATGTTCAACAAGGCCAAGTGCAAGGTCCTGCACCTGGATTGGGACAGTCCCAAACACAGACACAGGTTGGGTGAAAAATGGCTTGAGAGCAGCAGTGCTGAGAAGGATTTAGGAGTGTCAGTTGAGGAAAGATCCAACATGAGCCAGCAGTGTGCGCTTGCAGACCAGAAGGCCACCGTATCTTGGGTTGCATCAAGAGGAGTGTGACCAGCAGGTCAAGGGAGGTGATTATGCCCCTCTACTCTCTCTCGTGAGACTCCACATGGACTACTGTGTCCAGTACTAAATCCCCCAACACAAAAAGGATGTGGAGCTGTTGGAGGCAGGTCTGGAGAAGGGCTATGAAGATGATCACAGGACTGAAGCACCTCTCCTATGAGGACAGGCTGAGAGAGCTGGGGCTCTTCAGCCTAGAGAAGAGAAGACTCCAAGGAGACCTAATAGTGGCCTTTCAGTGCCTGAAAGGGCCTACAAGAAAGCTGGGGAGGGACTTTTTATAAGGGCATGTAGTGACAGGAAAAGGGGAAATGATTATAAAATGGAATAGTAGATTTAAACCAGACAGTAGGAAGAAATTCTTTACTGTGAGGGTGGTGAGACACTGGAACAGGCTGCACAAGAGAAGTTGTGGATGCCCCCTTTCCGGAAGCATTTAAGGCCAGGCTGGATGGGGTTTGAGCAACCTGGTCTAGAAGGAGGTGTCTCTGCCTATGGCACGGAGGTTGGAACTAGATGATTTTGAAAGTTCCTTCCAACCCAAATCATTCTATGATTTTATGATTGGAAGGCCACAATGACATCTCTATGGAGCCTTCTCTTCCCAGCTAAAGAAGCCCAGCTTTCTCAACCTATCTTCATAAAAGAAGTGTTCCAGCCCCTTTGATAATCTCTGTGGGTCTTGTCTGGACCCAGTCCAACAGCTCTGCATCCCTGCTGTACTGGGAGACACAGACCTGGATGCAGTGCTCCAGTCTGGTCTTCACAAGAGCAGAGTAGAGGGGGACAATCACCTCCCTCTCCCTGCTGGCCACTATTCTTTTGATGCAGAGCAGAACACTGTTGGCCTTCCAAGCTGCAAGCACATGCTGCTGACTTGTGTCCAGTTTATTGTGCACCAGAATCCTTAAGTCCTTCTCACAGGGTTGTTACGAATGAGTTCTTTTCCCAGAGTGTATTCATAATAATTCATGAATGTTTGTAAGCTTCCATACATTATCATAGAATCATATAATAGAATCATAGAAAATGATGTTGTGGGTGTGTGCCTGGGTTGAAAAGGACTCAAAGATCATCTAGTTTCAAAGCCCTTGGCATAGGCAGGGTCACCAACCACTAGACCAGGCTGTCCAGAGGCACATCCAGTCTGGACTTGAATGACTCCAGAGATGGAGCATCCACAACCTCCTTGGGCAACCTGCTCCAATGAGTCACCACTGTCTGAGAGAAAAACTTCCTCCTAAAGGAAGTTATCTAGAAGTTGAGTTTAAGTCATATATAATTATGGTGAAACACTGTAGCATTAGTGATTTGGATCAAAACTTGAATCACGACAGATACTATCCTGTAATTAAATATGTACTTCATTAGATTTCCTTGCATGCTTCCATAACAAAGCATTTTTGTTCTGAAAATAACCCTGATATATTTTATGGCAGAATAAATTTTTATTTGTCTAAGTATTCAGAAGTGGATGTCAGCATTTGTCAAGTACATAACTTCCTTATATTCGTAATTTTCTGCAGAAAGTGTTCTGAGAGAATAACTAAAATCCTTAACAAAAGCTGAATACGAACTGAACCAGAGGAAAAAAAACAATGGAGGAAACCAATAGTGCAAATATTCTATTTGTCACAGAAAAAGTCTTTCCAGAGTTGTTTTTCAAAACAAGAAATAGTGAAATGTTGAGAAATGAGTTTCTCTTTTGCTTCACAGAAGACAACAGCAGGGTAGTTGCAGCAAGCATTGGGGTCCCACCCCCCCTGGCAGGCACCCACTGCCTTGAGCTGCTCAGAGCTATTGCCTTGTGCCAGCCTCCCAAAAGCAACTGGCCCGTGAGCATGGCCTGAACAAGGTGACAGAGCTACCACATACATTGACAGTGCCGTGGTGTGGGCTCCTTGGTCAGGAACTAGGTGAATGTCCAACATAAAGCACGAATCTCATCAGACCCACACATTGACCAGTGCTGGGGAAAAAAAAAAAAAGATAAAATTTGGGCCACTCTCATTGTTTATCTCACAGGGTACCAATCTCTCAAGGAAATCCTCAAACAATGGCAGCCTCAAAACTTCATGAACTGCACTGACTCCACCATCTGGACAGGACAAGACATCTCAGCAAGAGGCAGTAGCTCAGAAGGACTATATATTCTGGATGTTCTTGGCAGGCTGAGGCCTCCTGGCCAACAGAAGCTGCAGCTGCAATGCTGGTGTTTCCAACACATAACTGGCACCTCACAAGAGGAGGTCAAGGCAAGCATGGGCTATTTGAGCCCCATGGCTTGGAAAAATTAAGAAGCACCCTGTTGCACCTGAAGCAATTTCTAGTGCCTGAGGGCACATAATCAACTCACCCAGCTGCTGCAATATCAAGGAAGAGGTATGCTCTTTTTACAGGAACATACTGACACACAACAGATGAAAGCAAGGGATTGCCTTGCAGTAGAACCCAAGGATGAACTCAGAGCATCTAAAGAAATAGATGAGATTACTTGCTCTGAAACCAAAGAATAGGAGTGCTTGTAATGGGCTTGCCTACACTGGAACTTCACTTTATACAATTCTTTGCTCAAGTCTCATTTGACTCAATGGCAGCACATCTTCAGTGCAATGGGGAGAACAGAGAAAGTGGCTGTATCTCAGTGCAAGCTCTGTCTGTCTGTCTGGTCTTCTTACCCAAATTCTCTGCAATTGCAGACAGAATGCCAGTAACTGTTGAATTCCTCAATATTTGAAAACATTTCTTTCAGAAATGCAGAAAGCCTGCACAGGTAGATACATGCCCTCGTTCCCCTGAAATTGTTTCCAAGAGGATGGTGTACAGCATTTGAAAATACTGCAGTGTACAGAAACATAGGGAGTATCACAAGGCTAAGTGAATCAAATCCAACAAGTAATTTTTATTCCTCAGGGGCTGTTTTATTAACACTTTATGTGTATTAAATAATTGATAAACTTATTTTTAATTTTCATCACGTTTTCGTGGTTTTTCAGGCTGCGCCACCAACTGCTGCACAAAAAGAAGCCTTCCTGCAAAAGTCAGTAGTGCTTTTTCTTCCGTTGAACTTCTCTTTACCACCAGAGGGTGCAAAACTGCAGTGCTCAAATGCTGATCACAAAAAAATCTGAGCAGCATCGCTGCAAAAGTAATTGTAGGAAGTCTTATGAATACAGTACAGGTGTTATTACACATAACCACCATCCCCAATCTAAACCATAACAAGACCTCAAGACGCTGTTAAGAGTTTTCTATTTGATGCCAGAGCATCTGATACTGTAGTAGAGGGAGGAGAGATTTCTACCACAGAACAGAAACACACACAAACACAAACACACATACAAAAAAAAACCCCAACCAAACAACAACAGCAAAAAAACCCCACCTAGTTTTGTGGGCTGTACATTTTTTTTTTCCATATAGACCTTCAATCTCTACAGAATATATTTTCTGTCAGGCTGTAATCTTTAATTGCTGTAGTAGATTTCTATATCTGTTCAGAATGTTTCAGAGGTCATACAACCTTGTCTAAGACTGCCCAGGCATAAACATCATTGCATTTGTGCTTTGTTTACTGATAACTGCTCATGATTCAGTACTGAAAAACACAAACTGATTGTGCTTTCCAACAGTGCCAGTACTATAGAGAGCACGGCCTTTGATACATATTTCTAAATAACATTTATTGTTAAGTTTACTTGCTTAATACAAAGAACCAGAAAACTTCCACTGCTGGCTTTTGGTGTTTTTTTTTGTTTGTTTGTTTGGTTTTTTTTTTTAACAGATGACTGCAAGTCTGTAATTGTTTTGTACTGATCATCTTACATAAACAATATTACATTTACACTGCAGCAGCCTTTCAGCTGTGTGTACACTGTAGAAAAATACATCAAATGGTACCTCGCTTTTAAATCAACATCAAAGCAGCTGTAAATGAAACAACATGAACAATGAGGTTTTACTAATGAATAGAAAAAGAAATACTGTATAACGTTAGTGCTTCTTCCATTACAAAAGTCTCCTGCACTCTAGGCTGTACTTTTAAAATCCTGCTTCTGTAGATTATACCTTGCTGCTAATACTAAAATCTGTTTTTTGATCCAAATAGGAGGTCAGTTTATAACATTCCAAGCTTTGTTTTTAAGGGGCAGAGGTTCAAATTTCTTCCAAAAGCTATGCATATTTCTTCGTTGACTTGATAATATCTCTGCAACAGGCATGGTTTCAAAAAACAGACAATTTTACAGAATATTACCTATTAACTTCTAATACTTTTTTTTCAGTAATCTATTACTAAGGATAGGCTTATTATACTGAAGAATAGGCAACTAGAAATCCTAGTGACCTTCCATGCATATTTATGCACACATTGTCTTTATTCTCAGCTATGTAAAAGCATATTTAAAAATTTATACAAAACAATATACTCAGTTCCCAAAACCCAAATTTTTTAGAAAAAAATGGAAATTACAGGAAATATATCATACTCCATAAGCACATCCTCAGTTTAAACGTAGGCAGCTACACCTTATGCTCCCTACATTCAATCTCACTCCCACAGACCACAGATAGATTTCACTCCTTGACTCAGAAAAGTCCAAAATTTCTTATTCCACTGGTTTTTGAAGCAAAACATACAACATGCTCAGTGGCTTCAAATGCTCTTTCAGATAGTGTGCAGGAGCAGATCAACTTCTGTTCCTCAAACAACTTCTCATGCCTCCACAGTTTTTACAGGATGTGGTGGATATGTGGCTGAACATATGTGAAAACATATGGGCAAGGAACCTCCAGTCTTCAGTTCTTGCCCACTGCACCCTGTCCTGGCACTGGGCATCACTGAAAAGGGCCTGGCTCCATTCACTTTGCAACCTCCCTTTCTGATATTTATAGACATTGATGAGATTTCCTGGAGCCTCCTCCTCTCTGGGTTGTACATCAACTTCTTAAGCAAAAAATATAATTACTAAAAGAGATGGAAATTATGACATCGTAGAAACACAGTACCTGCTTGTTGTTTTCGTTAGTACAACGCAGCCTTTTGAGGGACACCAAGTGTCTGATCTTCCTAGCAACAGAAATAATTTATTGTTATCACATCAGATGGTAAAGAGGGAAGTGAAATGACATAGTGATATTTTTTTAAGCTGAATTCTTGATGCTCTAATGGAACAAGAACTAAAACCAACACCAAACAACTGACTGAGCAACAAGCAGTGAAACAGTCGTGTTTTTGTTCTAAAGTACATGACTATGCTGATGCTGAAAGAGTTCACTCACACATCTGGGAGCAGAATTTGGCAACATGCACATCATACATGGCAAAAGTGCAAGCACATGCAAGTGTGCATACAAAATGAATCAGCTGGCTGCTGACTCTTCCAATTGCCTGGTTGGCAGTTTGAATACTTTAGAGTAACTTCACAGAGAAGAGCATGGTAAAATAAACCCAAACACCAATTTGCAGCTGTCTGTATAATAGCAACTTCATCCTTTCTTATGATTTCACAATTTTTTAGCCAGCAAGTGAAGACACCAAAATGGACAAATCAGTAAAAATCACGGCCTTCTTAATTTTGCACATTTTCCTTGAACTGCTTGAAGTCAGCAGTGTTATCACCACCCTGCTCCTTGCTATATGGAGGTTCATGCCAAATGCACGGACAGGGAAAGCACAGAGAAGGATTAAAAAAAAAAAAGGAACTGTGCTCTGGAGATGTTAATTACCCTCCTTGACCAATCACTGGTGTTATCTTCACATGTTGCTGGATACTGTCTCCAGATTTTCTTCTTGCATAGTAAACCCCTTGCCACTCCTAAGAAAACATGCACAACAGAAAGCATGTGATAATACATAGTTTGCAGTCGAATATTCATTTATTATTGCCTAGTCCTTATGTAGCAAATAATTACATACTATTTCATGTTTGCATTCTAAAAAAGTGTAAAATCTTGTAATCCTCAGTGCAGCTAAGCAGATATTTGCTTGTCTGAGGACAGTGTAAACTTTTTGATATGTTTCTCTTGTGAAGAAGTGCCCAGTATTTTCAAAAAAGTTTAGGAATCAGAGGAACAGAATTCAAATGAGATATATGCAACTTGAGAGAACAGAGTCTCATGTTTTTAAACCCAGAGTTTAAAAAATAAAACAGACTGGAAATCCAAATTAGAATTGCCCAAGCTGATTTTAGCTACTTACCTTTCCTTTTTTAATACATGCGTTGATAGCGTCTGACAGATCTGCACGGTTTTTATCACTTTTTGGCAGCTCAGTAAGTTCCTTGCCAATGAGCTCTCCCTTCTGATACCCCATCATATGCTCGAAGGCTGGATTAACATACTGTGAAACAAAAGAACTTCGGGATAAGAAGGACATACTTAGAAGATAATTACTCACATAAAACTATCACAGTATTTCAGGGTACGCACCTAAATCCAAAACCACACATCCCTGCAGTCTGTCACATAAAATATTATGCCAGTAGTGAAACACTTCACTTACATTTGCTAGATACATATTATTTATTTATTTATTTATTTATGTTACATACGGAGTTGAAATAGAATCTGATATAGAAAACATGGAAAGAGAACAAGCCCCTTTACTGTACAGGGTATCTATTTCTGCAATAGATTTCACGTTTGTTTTACTATAAGCAACTGGAAATTATTATCTGAGTAAAATTAGAGAAGGAAATGTTCTAGAAATTCAGCAAGTGTCAACAGGCAGCATCCAGAAATGCTGCAGAAATATGGCAACAAAAGCAAAACACCGAATTAGAAGAGACTTTACAGAACAAAGATCTCTTTGGGGTTTCTGTCTTTGAATTCTGCAAAATGATTGGTCTTTTCCCCATACCTGAATAACACGATCTTCACTGGTTATTTCTATTGCTTCCTGACAATGTTCTAATGCTGTAAATACTGCATTACATGCCCTGAAATTAGCAAATGATTCACATTAGTTTTATTGTTAGAACATTTTGCTTATCGTAAACAGATTATTGCACTGTACGTATCCACGGATTAATCACAAATTAGCATGCTGTTTCAACCATACAGGGTAGCCATCACCATTATGATTTTCTGAGGAATTTAATCTTTGGACACTCCCGTTGCTGACGTATTTTTTGAGATCACTTACAAAATCGCTCACAGGCACCGCATCACTTAACAGCACGGTGCCTTTTCCGAACACCCTTTCTAGAGCAGGAACTAAAAATGAGTAAAAATAACAAATTGCTGCATACATTGCAATAGAAAGTTTTGTGAACATCAAGGATAGGGAACACAAAAATCAGCACAGTACATTTTATGAATCTATGTATATAAAATATATCCTAATATATACCCCAATAAAATATGTCCTGACATACACACGGATAAAATGTGCTGTGCTTATTTTACATGTGTATATACACGTAAGTATAAATGTAAATTTTTCAGACCTTGATTATCAAAGAAGTTGTAATGCTAAGCGATTAGAGGAAATGATTTAAGCCATCACAAAATCTTAGTCAGAAAAATATCACTTTTCCTGCTTTCAATTTATAATTCAGTGGGTTGACTTTCATACGGGTTAATCTTAATTAAGGGCAAAACTAATCCCCACCTTCCACTTTTTCAGGGCTATCCTTGAACTAATGCAGGAAAACAAAATCTTTACTCTTTTGCTACAGGACTGATACTGCTTAAACTATAATTTACACAGAATGGGATTGAAATAATGTTATTTAATTCTAATTAATTATGTTAATTAAAACAATGTATTAATTAACACAGTAAACTATGGAGATTTAGTGCATACTAGAAGACACAAATCAGACGACGTGCTGTGATAGATCCCAGTCCATTTTCTGGCCTAAATTCAGACCAATTGTCTGCTATGCATGTCTCAATGCAGGGAGCATAAAATGCACCATGCAGAAACATCCTTGTATACAGCTGCAACCTAGTGGAAATGTCTTGCTTACAAACTGTACAGTCAGGTGTGATTAATACTGATGATCAGTGCATGGTTAGCACAGAAGTATTCTACCTCTGCATTAAGGAATATTGGATGTTGGTAGCTTTGCTCATCATGGAAGTAACTCAGAAACAAACTGGAAAGGGAATGCACATGAAGACATACATACACAATGATATGGATGAAGATTTGTAGGAAGAAGCGTTGTATGCAAAAGACAACTGTACTCCTTCAGTTTATGCAATAAAATGAACTATCAGTGTAATTCTACGAGCGACAACCTAGCAGCTCAAGTTTGCTCCATGGTGTGATTTTGTGCTGCGCAAAATAACTGAGTTATCTCAGTGGTAGATGCTCATCTGGTACACAAGCACTAACAAGTCATTAAGTAAGCTTTCTGCAAGAAAACGCAGAGCTGTTTTGAACTGATTACACTATTCAAAACCTACTTTTTCATTTGATCTGGCAATCAAGCTAGCTTTGGTAGATGCACACATCCCACAGATGCCCCAAAAAAACCTTTAGAATTAAAGAAACAAAAAATCTGTCTAAGAAACAGTGTACCCATCCGGACAGTTCTGTTCACTGAAATGGCTTCAGATACTGCGTCCCTGGTCCAAAATTCTCACAGACTTTCTCTTCTATTCAAACACCTAAAAAAAATTCTGGATTTTGTCCCATTGATTTACTTTCTGAGAACATTATGTCTTTCTTTTCAAAAATACAAAGACATATCAAAGACCAGGAGCCCCTTGAGATAAATACACAGTGCAACATTTTTTCCCCCATTTCATTAAACCACAGAGATGAAAGCAAATTGCAACCAAGTAGGGCTAGAAAATCTAGTTGTGCTTATTTTTTTATGGTAAGCTCAATTAAAACATCTGCCTCTTTGGGCAAAAGCAGGAAGAAGTTCTCTGTCACAAGGCGTCAGCTTCTCTAAGCTACAAGTATGCCTTCTCAGAAAATCTGTCCTTCAGAAGACTGTTTTGATCCCCCAGATGTTAGCACAAAGCTTCTTACATTAAAAGAAAAGTAGAATTTAACTCCTCTGGGTCTGCCTCAGGCAGTGGCAGCAACAAACTCCAAAATACCACAGCTGTGCTGCCAAAAGCTTTTTGAAACAGTAGTGCACCAGAGATGATGTAAATATACAGACATACACATGTGCAGATATATACATGATGCGTTACTAACATACAAAACACATGGTAACACAGAAAACATCTAATTTGCTATACATTCACATAAATTAAAGGGAAGGAAGTTCACAGTTTACATAACTAAAGATAGAAGAGTAAAAACAAGCCAAATTACAAGTGGGTGGTACAACACTGTTTACATAAACAATACAGAAGAGAGAATTGCCAGCAGCTCAAAAGCTTCTGAGGAGTGACACTCTCTTCCAAATTTCAGTATTTTTTTTATTGGTGATAGTTTTAAATAATCTCACAGAAAAATATGGCAATCAATATGTGAATTATGTTCCCTGTTTCTGAGTTATAATTATCTGCATTCATAGTTTATATAACTAAAAGAGATGCTTAAGCTCTACTGGCACCGAATTCTTAAAGTAGGTTATTCCCTGTGTTACAGCAGGTAATTTCCAATGAAAAGAACATAAAGTTTATAACAGAAAGAAATAAAGGAAAACAAAACATAACACAAGAAGTCATTGACACATACACTGATGTTCTAGAGAAACAGAAGGATAATTTCCACTCTTCTATGTTTTGATAAACACTAAGAAAGAGATGGAAATGACAGAAAGTTACTATACACAGAGTAACAAGCAATGAATGTCCTCAGCTAAGAAATTAAGGAGGTTATCTGCACATGTTTTTATGGTTTCTGGTAAGAATCTTACTTGAGACATTATCAGGCAACAAAGTGGAATGCTGCCTGAACTGTGAGAAGAGTAATCCTCAAGATGATATACAACAGCTGGAAGAAGTTTCCTTTTTGTCTACAGCATGCTTGTTATTACAAAATCTGTCGTTTTGGACCTAAACCTAAACAAGCTACAGGTATAGCTTGTATGAACATAAACTGATGTTTGCTAACTAAATTCACAAGTCATACATTTCACACTGCATTTACAACTGAACCAAGTCAGATTCAGTTCTAATTAACTTCTAAAATTTCTGTGCTTTTTTTTTTCTTTATTTTTTTCTGCTGAGCTTTGGGAAATACACATTAATATTGTGACAGCATGAACCCTATTTTTTTTCCTAAAGATTCTACTACAATCATATTTTGCATACATAAACACATATTTGCTTGAACATTAAGTTCCTTTGTGATAGGTTTGTGAATGGAACCTTAAAAAAATCTACTGCTTAAACAGCAACACTGACTCCAGTAGTGAAGCGATAGTATTTTCTGTAGAAGGAAATGCAACTCAATTATGGGAATCCAGGTAAATATACTTTCTCTGTGTGACAACTCAAAGATCTCTTTTTTATATACAGTTGAATTGTAAAGATATTTATATGTAGGTGTAAGCAACAGAAGCACCAGTATTAAATATACAGTCAATCATATTAAACTGATTATATAATTATATATTCCTTCTTATATTTGGAAGATAATTTTACAATTAAATATTTCTTATTAAGAAAAAAATTGTGATTTTGATTTGGCACAGAGTAGGAAGAGCCAGCCCAAGACTGAGCTCAGTTCAAGACATGAAATCTCACACACATAAGATTAAGAATGACTTTGAGAAATTTTCCTGTCATGTCACTTTGCAACCTTTCTTACACACAAGTCAGCATTAAAGTGCTACCATTCAATTAAACGAACAGAAGCTGTTCTGCAATATTTCTGCTAAGGGATCTCATTCTGATTGCAATACCAGTGATGGCTGCTGTATTATTGCCAAACTCAATGTGGGCATCTCAAGACATATGGGCACAGGCAAGCATCAGAATAAAGGACAAGTACTGCATTCTGCATTAATGAAAACTGTCATTTAAACCAGCAGTGAATGAAGCACATCAACAAAGCTTTCTAAAGGCACCACTTATTAAAGCCCTTACATTTGTCTGTTTTGTAACTGATCAAGGAACAAGGCTGTAGGAAATTGTTAGCATATGAAATACATATATCTGCAGTTGGGAACGTAGACCAGTTACTTATTTCCAAATATTTATTTCTTATGCCTTCTTATATGTCTACATACCGTAATTTGAACTGAGATCGCACTTCCCCATGTTCTATTTGAATGAGTTCATTGTAACAAGCAGTTATGCTGCTATTCTCCATGAATCGCTGGAAAACAAATCAGAAGTGCATGAAATAGAATGGAAGGTTTGTAATCTATTATTCCTGTTCTTGTATCTAAAACTCTAATGTTATAGAGCTGGCAATAGGACGACAAAGGGCCACAAAAATGGGGCCGGAATATCTTTCATATAAGGAATGGCTGGAGGAGCTGAGACTGGTCAGTACAGAGAAGAGAAAGCACAGGAGAGATCTCATTAAGATAAAACAAGTACCTCAAGAAAGTGCAAAAAGAACAGTCAGGCTCTCTTCAATGGTGCCAGTGTCAGGATGAGAGGCAATGGGCACAAAATGGAGTACTAGAGGTTCCTCCTAACACCAACTTGCCAGTGTCAGGATGATAGCTGGACTTGATGATCATAAGGATCAATAAGACAGTGTCAGGAGATTTTATGATTCTTGCTGTGTGGGTGGCTGAGCACTGGCACAAGTTGCCCAAAAAGGCTGTGAGTCTCCTCCTTGGAGATGTGCAAAAGCCACTTGGACATGGGTAACCCACTCTGTGCGTCCTGCTTGAGCAGGGGTTGGGCCAGATGGACCCAAAAGTCCCTGCCAACCTCAGCTATTCTGGGGTTCTGTAGAAATGCTTTCATTGCGCCTGCTGTGTTAAGCAATCATCTATTCAATGGGAATGATTCTCTAGTCACTGTGACAATATTGCTAGCTAAATAAAAAGCGAGCATAAAAATCTGCTGAAACCACAACTGTGAGCTTTGCCACTTGGTTCTAGGTATTCAGTAAGAAATAGGTCATCTAAAAAAAAAAAACAAACAAAAGTCTCAAAATCAGTAGCATTTGGATGTTTCATTAGGAACACCTATGCCTTAATTCAGAACAGGAACGGAATACCTTAAAGATATAAAATATCCATGCTAAAAATTAAAATAAATTTAATGACATTTGGCATTTCGTCTGTTTTTAAGTAAGTATTGTAGCTGAAACTCACAAACTGTAGTAACTTGAATTTGTAAGTAACGTCAGTGAGCTGTCACTTTTGAATTCAGAAGTGCAGAAAAGTAAAATTTGACAGCTGTTAACAAGACCTTTTTAAATATGTGTTAGATGGAATGTCCTCTATTTGTTATGCAGAAGCAGTTAGCAGAGAGGTATTGTGCTTGGACCAGCTGCAGTGAGAAAATTCACATTCATCACAAAAGTATTAGCATGTTCTCTGACTTCAGTTCAAGTTTATTGCTCACTAGTAGACTTCTGCTATGAGGATTTACATCAGTGATTTGTAAATACATCTGTGGATTCTGCTTTTCACACAAAATACTCTGTGACATCATTAGTTTTCAGAATACAGCTGCATGCTGAGTCAAGAGCCAGCACTCAGATCTGTGAAGAACAAAGAGTGTTGTATGAGGAATCTTTGCTTCTCCCCTTTATGAAAAAAATGTGATTTGGGAACCAACAGCTTAAGCCCAAATTTAAAAGTAACTAACCATGGGCCTACTTCACTCCTCATGTTAAGATATTAAATATTTCTATAACTGTCACTTTTCACAGCAGGAAAAAGACATTAAGATTGATGTATTTGTAGGTGTATTCCCCCAAAAATATTAAAGGAGCTCTTGGGAATCTTCAGCTCTGAATCTGATGTAAAAATTGAGGTTTTGTCTATAAAATTCTAGAAAAAAGTGACAGACTAATTGGCTATATGCATCAGATACTTTATTAATCATTTTGGAGTTGCACTTAAAAGACAGGTACCATCAAACAGAACAATTACAATTAAGTTTTGTCAAGGGAAGGAGGAAGAATGGAACTAGTATGACAAATGCTGATACATTGAATAGTGATAATGCAAAATAAACTACTGGAAAAGGTAGAGTATAAAAATAAAGTTAGGGAAGATAAAGCTGTAATTTGAGCAGATGGGATTTTTCAAAAATCAATTTTATTACATTGTTGAGGAAAAGATCCCTGGATGCGCTGTCTCTCTCCTTGGAGAAGGTGTTTATTTGGGGTTTTTGTGTCTTTTTGTTTTGCATACATATTTTAAATATATATATGTATATATATTTATACATATATTTGCAAGAGAGTCAAGATCTATTACCTCTTTCTGGTGATGTTCCACAGTGGTGACTCAGGTGCATATACTTTTTGCAATGAAACTCAGGTTTAGCACGAATTAGCTCAGATACTGGATTCAGTCTGAACCAATAGGATAGTGTTCTGACTGGGATAATTCTTCTAAACACATATATTTAATCCCCCCTAACTACAGAGTCTACTGATGAGCTCCTACTGATTAACTTTCTTAATATTACAGATGCTTTATGTTACATTAGGAAACATTAATGACCACCCAAAGCCACTCAAACAAAGGCTAGAAGATGGTAAGCAAATGAAGCTAGACTTTCAGAACTGAAAATCACTGCTCTTCACTACAAATTCATTTTAAGAAACAGCAGTAAACAGTTATTTCCTCCTCTGGTTTCTTGTACAGAACAGCTTATAATGTTCTGAATAGAAAGGGTTCACGCCGAGGTAACAACTCAATTCAAACCTCACTGAAAAAAACCAAAACAAAACAAAACATTATCCTTTTTCAATTCAGCAGGAGCAGGACTAGGCTGGTACTCCATTCAGAAAAGATTCCTAGCATGCACACAAACATGTCTAGATGACTAGGCACACATTAATTAGGGTGCCATGTCTTTGATTTTTAAATACACTCATAAACAAAATCCACTCACCATCTGTCCAGACCACATGGATTTAACCACAGAATCATTAAGGTTGGAAAAGGTCTCTAAGATCATTCAGTACAACATCCACCTACCATCAATCCTGTTCACTAAACCATATTCCTTAGTACTGTATCTGCCCTTTCTTTAAAGACCACCAGGGACAGCGATTCCAGCACCCCCCTGTGCAGCCTGTTCCAGTACTTCGCTACTATTTCTGAAAAGAAATTTTTCCTGATATTCAACCTGAAACTCCGCCGGTGCAAATTGAGGCCTACTTGTCCTATTGCTGTTATTTGAGAGAAGAGCCATACCCCTGCTTTTTCTGGAAGGACTACCTGGATCACAGATTCTCTTATCTCATATGCTTTTCCAATACATTTCTGAAAACAAGAGTACCCAATCAACTGTGACCATTATCTCATAAATACATTTTTGACATAAGCAAACATATAGTTTACATGAAGAACTTATATGAAAGATTCAAATGTGAGGAAGTTGAAGTGCCTCTAATTTACAAAGCAACCACGGTTACTTTATTAAATACATAATATATGAAAGAAAACATACCCTATCAAAGCCTGCATTAAGAAGGGGAAGAACAGAAGTCTCTTCTTGATCAGCAGATCTACAAGACAAAATGCTGGTCACACAACATGCAGGAACTAGATGGCATCAATTCAGCAGTTATCCAAATATAATGTAGTATGAATGCTCTTGCATAAAATACACATGTCGAATCATGATATTACAGAAGTGGATCTTCTGAATGTCAAAGATGATACAGTCTTTTATATATACTTGCAGTTGTTATTATGGCCAGAAAATAATTTCTACAGCAAATTCGATATTACACAGACATCTGTCTTCTCTTCATAGACATACAGGGATGTTCCAATAAATAAATAGATAGATAGTTTAACAAAACAAAGGATATCCTGTGATATCCGACAAGAAAGAAACTAAAATAATGCTATTAAGTGGAATGTGGAACAAGCTATAAGGTCTTGTTAAGCAGCAAACACCATCTATTTTCTAATCTTGGCTGGAAAAGTTCTCCAGCCAACTCAATTTGCAAATGTTTTAGTTGAACTAGGAAATTAACAAAATTAGAATGGATTTAGCAGTATGTAGAAGTACTAACAATGATGGGAAACCACTCTTTTTCTAAGATATTTGATAAAAGATGTATTTAAGTCTGTAAGAATGCACTGAGTATGAATTACTCAAGAAGGAATTCAGGACAATACAATACCAAGTTTAGTACCATCAGAAATAAGATTTACTCCATTACCTAGTTACCTAGTAACCACAGCATGTTATCTGATCTATTTCCCTTACAACACAATAAACAGCTTTCTATTCTTTCATTTTAAAAACAAATGTATCTGTGTCTATTTTTTTTTTAGTACGCAAGCCACTTCATAACAATTCTCTAAAGTCAAAGTGATATATTAGTCTATATGAATGGAAGTAATTGAATACTTAAATAGGCCATATACATCACTTAACCATTTCAGGTAAAAAATAACTAACATTAAACTAATTCTGTAAGTTTTTAAACTTACGAGTTTATATCTTATCTATGAGATACCTTCTGTTACTTGCTAGTTTTGATTTTAACTCATTCTCATAGAGTAAAACAAAAATATTTCACAACACAGAGTAAAACGTACGTGCGTGGAACCACAGCAAGTATTACAGTGTGTTCTGATGGCTTTGTGGCACGAATAGACCTAAGAAAACAATATTTTCTCAGTTACACCACATGCTTTCTCAGTGTTACACACAATGTCTTCACAGGCAATATAAATGAAAAACAGTTCTGAAAGAGTCCAACGAGTTATGAAAATAGGACCAACTGGTCCTCACTTAGACATTCAATTTCTTTTGGTATCAGCCTCCTCAGAATCTGCACAATACAGTGCAGTACAGAGACAACAGCTCAAAATTCTCTTCAAACCTAGTAAAAGTTTGTCCTTCTTACCTAGGTAAAGGCAGGGCAGGCTGCCCTGAACGCGGGGGTTGACAAGATGCAATGTCTATACAATGCATTCTTGGTATTTGTTAGCTCAAAAACTAATTAAACGAGAATCTTTACCACCTTCTCCCACCTTCACAACTGTCCTTTCATATGCTGTAAAATTTTCTTTGAAGTATACCAAGTGCTCTTGGGGCACACTGGTAAGAAAAGAAAGTATAGCAAATACACTTCTCTATAGAGGACTACGACCACCATGGTTAACAAAATTTCAACACTTTATGTTACTGAAGAACTGAAAAAAAAAAACAAACAACCAAGAACACTCCATTCATCTTTCACCACTGAAAAATACACTTTTTTCAAACATGTCACTCTCTTCTGAATAAAGAGTTGTCATATGCATGTGTACTTCTTCCAGAAACACTTCCATAACCTTAAATACGTGAACTTTAAAATATTTGTCTTAAACAACAGAAATTTCAGTTCATGCAAGACTGAGAAATGTAGTGTGCTGCATGGTAAAACTGATTTTCCATTTCCATTTCCACATGTACAGAAGAATGATGTGAACTTTTGTGAAGAGCACTCACTGACGTGTGCCTGACGTAGTCAACAAACAATAGCATTAGTTTCAAGCCTTGCAGCTTAAAATCTTGTTACAGCACTAACTCAGGAAAGGAGATCCAGGGAGAAGCAGATACAGAAAGCACAGAGTGATTGCACAACAGCTGTGGCTTATGCTCCGAATAATGCTCATGATTTGAAGAGAGAATTCTACAGGTCAAATGTCACCCTGGCCAAAAGCTTATTTTTCAAATTCTACTCCTCTTAACAGGAGTTCCTAAGAGTTCTTATGAATCTTCCTTAAAGAGGGAAGAAAACCTCTTGTACTCAATCTCCAAATTTCCAATTTGTGCATTCTTCTTTATTTTTTTTTATAATTAAGAGTATGGATTTTGTATAATATATTCCAGACTTCAAGAATAGCATAAGGCCCTTTAGTTACCTGCAGATATCTTCTGCATCAAAATATCTGGAATTCCTGTGATCTATAACAATTATTTCCTGGTGCTTATCAAGGAAACATTCAAGTGCTGATTCTGGAGTCTGGGCAATGTTGCACCTGTAACCAGCTCTGTCACAGGCCCACCAGAAGCCGTCACTTTGGTTGTCTTCTTTTGCGAAGATCAGCAAAACCTGCAAAGCATGCAGAGCAACATCAGTTTAAACATGCAGAATAGTTATCCACATGGCAAAAATCTTAACAACCACTTCTACTAATTGAAAGATCAAGTCCACTCTGAGATGGTGGACTGCAGATGATAAAAGAGCTGTCACAGTGGATAACTTAATTAATAGAGTGATTATCAACATAGCATTAACTGTGCAGGACTGATATTTACTGCTTTTGAATAAGCTGTGATTGTTCTGGATGTAAATGTGTTGGCAGGTGACAGGTTACCTTGCTGTGCGCATTCCTAGAGCATCACGGCTTCAGGAGCACTGCGACTATTTGGGCAGTTTTGACATACAGGCCCCTATCTAAACAGATGCCAGACTTAGCGAGCAGATGTTCAAACATCATTCCCATTTTAAGGTTGTGGGAGTTACACACATTTTAAATTGTAAGGAACTTTCTGAAATGTAATTGCCTTTTTCTTTCAAAACAGAAGAAAACGATAGACGAACAGGTATGGAAAGGGCTGGGTAGTAGGAAAACAATGATTCAGACACTGCAGCTGATCACTAACCATGCCACTCCATGTGACAGATAAAGAAAAACATCAAATTATTGAAAAAATGCTGTGAAAAAGAAAGGCTTTAAGAAGTCAGAAGTTCAACTATAGGTATTCACATTGCACAGAAAGGCAGAAGACTGAGGATAATCTATATATAAAGCAAAATCCTGTTCATTTTACAAACAAAAGTAACCCCCAGCTTCATTGAAACAATCTGAGCAAAGTTTTTCAAAAATGCTCACAAGGAAGGCTAATAACCTTTCATCTGTGATGTTGCATGTCTGTAATATCAACACATAAAATTCAACACCATCAGCCTAGAAGCTAGACAATGCGACCATACCCTTTCTTTTATCCTGAGCAGTATGGAATGGTCTGGAATGGTCTGGAATAAACAGAGCCATTAATGTTACTGAGGCTGGACTATCATTAAAGATTTCATTAAAAAGTAGTAAAAAATTATATGTTTGGAATTTCAATAAATATTAAGAAATTCATCTGAAAGTTTTAATTTATTAGTAAGGGTCCACTTACTAATAAGTGTAAGGTTACTGCCACTCATCATCCAAGATAGCAACTGTCACTCTACCTAATCCATTATCTTTTCCAGTTATCAAACATTCAAAAGCAGTTACATGGTTCTGCTATAGAACTTTGCATATACTCTGGTAAAGTAGCTACTCTGATTCAATCCTGTTTGGCTCCAGCTGCTGTTGGAGAAGAGGTTTTTCTTTGAAGATGTTTTGATATCTTTCTTCTCTCAACATTCCCTACTTGGAAATAGAGGATTGCAAAATTCAGCCATTTACCAGATGCAAAGTACTGGAGTTTAGTTAAACCACCTGTTCCCCCACTGGAAACTAAATATCAGTGTGTGAATCGTTCAGAGAATATTAACTTTAAAGGTACCATTAAAGCATTACTGCCATGCCTGCTCATTAAAATTTGTATGAAGCTTACTGTAGAGAGTGAAAACACAGCAAAACTTGAATTATGCAAATACGTTGCAAGCTAATCTCCCAAAATCAAAATGAAAATACAGCAATCTGTGTAAATCAGACTGACAGTATGACAGGAAATCAAATTTAATCTGTATTTCTTGATGGAAAACATCTGTTTTGGTATGTGGTTTGTTAGCCTTGCTGTGAATAGGTCTTTTTTATCCAGTGCTGCTTTGACATAGGAATACCATACACTTTTCCTGCTGAGATTTTTTTTTCTGTAATCTACTGGAATTCCTACCACAATTTTCTGAATTTGTTTTGCACAGCTATTGTATGTCTTGTTCCCAGTTTATCATGCAAATACAGAAAATAGATAGAGATCTGCTTTGAAAATCTCAAAATACAACCCAGTGAGAACAGGTGCATATATACCAGAAGGAAACAATGAGAAAATCAAAAATAGAACTTAAGAAGTCATAAAACATGACACCTAAACCTTTTTATGCCTCTGTGGTATTCCAGTGAAATTATTTTAATAGTGTCTTTAATATAGCCAGAGGGATACTGTGTGAAACATTAAATGGGCAGGAAAACAATTAGATGGTGGGCATCATCAACACTTCGGCTGCAGCTCAAGAGGGGAAGATCGTCATGATCAGAACAGACATGGAGCTCACCATCAACACTGTGAAAGTGATGATGACCTATGAGTTTCATAAGAGGGAGAAAATGCAGTATTTGAAGGGGGAGCAGGATTAAGCATTAAAAGAAAGTGAGTGAATGATGACAGGTGGCAGACAAACTCTACAGCAGTTCTCTGGAAGGAAGCAAGAGGTATTTGCTTAGACCAAACAAGAAAGAAATGTACTTATTAATATAGAAGACAGGGACTATGGGGAAAAAAAAGAGTAAGCATTTCAGTTTGTGTGTTAAAGCCATGAGTGCAGAAAAGCACCACAGTAACTGCGGGAAACAACCACATTCACTTCCAGTATATGAAGTTCTGTGAGGAGATGATGACAAACTTCAACTCAAATGCCAATAAAAGCTTCAGGAGTGGTAATTACTATAATTTCTGTGCCTTCCTCACCTTCCACTCCTTCCTACTCTAAAATGTTAACTCACTGGTCATTAGGGAAATTACAGCTCATACATGGTTTCACTCTAATACGACATAAAAATAACGGAGCAAGAGTTTTTCCATTAGTCATTGCTTTAAAAGGCATTCAGATCGTATGCTGAAACATAACAGTCTGACCTTCTGTCTCTGCCCTTGCTTTAACAATCATTAAGTTTGCAGATGTAAATTGGCTTCCTGTTTTGCAACGTTGTCCCCATTAGTTGATAACAAATTTCTACCTATGGTCTGATCTCCAAGCTAAGCTCTCATTAATCATCAGCTGAAAAGATTCCCATTCAATCCATTTGATTACATGTGAAGGCATTTGATGCAAGCCTACTCTTTGGCCATTAAGAAATTATCTCCTCTATTAAAAGTGTTAAACTCAATAGAAGTTCCTGAGCACATCCACTTTTTTCTGATTTTCCCTAACAATCACTGAGCCTCTTTTCTCCTAACCTTTAAATCACACAGGGCACTGACTTAAAAATCATATAGGAAAGTCCCATATACAAACCTCTGTCAGCCCTAGTTCTGCAAATGAGTACCGTATTTCTCTTTCATATGTACTAGATGTTAACACATCTTTCTCTCATGTCACTGGGGGAAGCTGCACGTTTATAATGAGGCTGCTCTGAAAGTAATGTCTCTATTCTATGATGTCCCATGACATCAGAGGCAGATGTTGGTTCTATGGCAGTAGAGGTTGAACCCTCCTGCCAGTATTCCTTTCCATTTTGTTGCCATGTGACAGATGGAGGCAGAGAGGCACTCTGACAAAATCATGTCTGACGTGAAAGTGTGTATGAAGCAAAGGTGAGTCACTGAATTTTTCCATGAAAAAAAAAAAAAGAAAAGAAAAAGACATTTACTGACCCACTGACATCCATGGATGCTTGCTGAGCATTTAAGGAGATCAAACAGTGGATATGAGCACAGTGAGGCAGTGGGTGGTGTGTTTCAGCAGTGGTGACAGTGACATGAAAGACAAGCCACATTTTGGACAGCCATGCACAGCATTCACACCACAAAATGAAGGGCATTTTGATCAGCTCATCCATGTGAATTGGCAGATTCTGATCTAGGAACTGTAGAGAGCTTCAGTGTGTTGGAAACAGTGGTAGCAATGTTAGAATATGGCTAAGTTTGTGCCAAGTAGGCTCCACTAATGCTCACACAGGAAGAGAACGAACATCATAAGCAGGTTTTTTCAGGACCTGCTGAACCAATACAAGGCTGAAGGTGACAGTCTCCTGGACTGCATCACTACTGGTGATAAGATGTGATGTTACCACTACAAGACAGGGTCAAAATAGCAACATGGGAATTCCCCACTGAAGAAAATGTTCAAGACGTAGCCCTCAGCAAGTAAAGTGATGTGCACTGTCTTTTGGAATAGAAAAGGGGTGATTCATTTGGATTTTCTGGAACCCAGACAAACCATCAGCTGCTACAAAATGCTGTCTAAGCTGAAGATCTGAACTTCCAGAGTAACGTTAGAAAGAAGACAACCTTTCTCTTACAAAGCAATAATGCCAGATCCCATACAAGTTTGAAGACCATAGAGCATATTGACACTTTGGCTGGACTGTCCTACTGCATCTACTGTATAGTCTAGGTTTGGTGCTTTCTGACTGCTATTGGTAAAGCTGATAAAGGATGAACTGCATAGTCAATGTTTTCCTACCAGCAATAACACCACAGCAACTGTGAAACAGTGGGTCACTTACACTGGTGCATACTCTTACAAGTGCAGCCTGCAGGCTCTTTTTCAATTAAAATGCACAGCTAATGGTGGTAAATGTGTTGAAAAGTGGTATTTTGTAGGTGAGAATTTGCTCTATCAAATAGTGTTATAGTGCTCTTTGTATCTTTTATTTTCCATGGATACCAATAGGAGGCATTACTTTCAGAGTGACCTATGTATGTACATTTTTCTCAGTCAATTCTAAGGTCTTACAACCAAATTAAGGCAATTTGTAAGCGCTGGTACAAAATCGGGGCGGACACATAAGCTGCATGCTGGGAGGGCATTTGGAGGGTAAAAGCTGGTATAAACCAAAACAGATTTGTCCTCTAACACAAATGGTCATAAAATCTGAGGTGGAATCTATTAAATGGTTTATGGCAAGTCATAGCCATAACAAAGGTCACCTCCTAGACAAAAAAACACAACCCATTTGCCAGCTGGCATAGGTCTGCTGCCAAACAACAGTTCAAAACGTGCACAAGCATACAATGAACATTGCTAAGAAAAGTCCTGGTGACAATTGTTTTAACAAAGTGTATTATCTTATTAGACAATTAAGAACATGATTAAGCAGCATATAAAGATATTTAAAATGCATAGTTGGTAGCCCTTTGCACTTCACAGAGAAATACATACCTCAATCATTAAGATGGAATATAAAAGATTAGCGCACATTATTTAAATGATAGGTATGTGCCATCCTTGTCAAATAAGCTGAGGTCATGTTACTTGTTCCATAAAGGAACTGAGTTTACAGAAAGTATTTTTCTTTTAGTGCAATTAATTTAGAGTATGGCATAGTCTTTACAAAATACTCTTCAGGTACAAGTTTTACTTAAGTCCTGATTTCAGCTTTTCAGTATCTAAAGAGAGCCTATGAACAGGAGGGGAGTCAACTCTGAAAGGGTAGATAGCAGCAGGACACGGGGAAATGGTTTTAAGTTGAAGGAGGGAAGATTCAGGTTGGATGTCAGGAGGAAGTTCTTTACTATGAGGGTGGTGAGATGCTGGAACAGCTGCCCAGAGAGGTTGTGGATGCTCCATCCCTGAGATGCTCAAGGCCAGGTTGGATAGGCTCTGTGCAGCCTGGTCTAGTATTAGATATGGAGATTGGTGGCCCTGTCTGTGGCAGGGGAATTGAAGATTCATGATCCTTGAGGTCCCTTCCAACCCTGGCCGTTCTGTGATTCTGTGATTTCTGTAGCACCGCAATTCGTGTCTTCACTAATAAAGGGACAAAACAACATCCACAGCTAGCTAAATATAAAGATGAATGTCAAGAAAGTTTCTATACAAAACACAGAACAATTTCCCTTCTTACATGAAGAATTATTACATGATTAAACTGCATAATAACAGCAAATACGGATAGTATATTTTTGCAAATCCAGTTTCTATGAAGTAAATAAAGTAAAATGTTGCCAAAGACAATGAGTATTCTTATTCGAGTATTATTGTGAGCATCTTACTGCAGATCATCACAGTCTACTCAGCATTTTTCCATAATTAGTTCCACATATTTACGTTTAAATTACTTGCAAATGAAGACTGGTCTACTGCCAACCCCACTATTATGCAGTCTTTTTATGACATACACGGTTTCAAAAGATCAAGCCACTGTTAAGACTGAATTATACTTATTATTATCATATTTAATACATAAAGAAAAATGTAAGGCTTTATGACCTCCAAAACAGCATAGCATGAATTCCATGTGTAAGTTTTTCTACTTGTAGGCAGTCATGGCAAGAATAAAAGCAACAAACAAATGCAGAAAGAGTGGCTGCTAAATATCTCTGCATTTTGCAGTTAGCTGACCAAGACTAAAAGTTACTTCTAACAGACACTGCTTTACAGGAGCAGTATTAAAGATCACACTATATGTTTAAAATAATATTCTTGGCATCCCTCTGTTTACAAACATAGGTACAAATTGTACAGAAACAGTAGTAAGTATGGGCAGAGCTGCTGCTTGTGTGACAAAATTCAATGCTCTTGTTGGAACACGTGTGACTTCTTGCATCTGTGACCTGTAAAAGCACAGTTCTCTGTTCTACTGTACAAAACCCAGCAAAATTTGCCTGGTACCTAAACTATATAACAATGCTTTCTGCCGTGGCAAGTCAGGATTCAGCAGTTTTTAACATTCAGAAACAGCTGTTTTCCTTGCTGGTGCACACACACACGGACACACTCCTACTGACAGGACACAAAATAAATTACTTGATGTTAATGGAAACGTGAGCACCTTCTTTACCAAGTTAATTTAGCCACAGATCTCTTTTCAAGCACTCAGATAAACCGAAACACCAATTATTGAACTCACAGTCCTTGCAGAAGTAAAAAACATGTATAACCATGCCTTAATTTTTTCACCCATTAGCACTGAATTGACTGTATCAAAAAACTGAGAGAACATCTTACCTGAACCGGATCTTGTGTCAGTCTCATAGGCCCAATTTGTACCTCTGTAGCTGAAGCCTGCTAAGTAAGAGTAATAGAGATTTTTTTCCACTCTACTTCTTGACCAGATAGCATTTTGCAAGCAAGAATGAAAGATCAAGCATAACCAGTAAGACTCTCACAGGATAGCCACACAACATGCAGCCTTTATCCAGCTGCTTTAAGTGTAGCTCTGATAACAGATAACCACGCTCACAATTTTGTTTCATGTACTTCTATGTTAAACATTGTAGGGCTTAACGCAGTAAAAATCTAACCACCATCTTCCTCCTTCCCCAGAGCACTTCGATTACAAAGGACTTCTGTTTTGTTTAAGACAATGGAAAACTATTATTTTTCTGTCCAAATATTGCCTTATTCATTTGATTGCAATACATACCTTCAAGATCTTGTAATGTATAATGAGAACAATATTTTAATTCGTTTTGTTAGAAAAACAAGTGAGTTTTCAGACAGGACAGTTTGTTTGGATTATAGTTTTAAAGATATTTTCCAGAAATGTAGCCTTTAATTTAGAGGGGGAAAAAAAACCCAAACAACATTGATATCCCTAATCAGTGTGTTTTCAGAAGACTTGAGAGCACATCACAGTTTAAAACTACAGCAACAAAATCAGCAAACATTGGCTTTCAATGCTTCGTAGCCTTATTTCCTAATAGCTGGACTACCTTCATGCTTTTTGTGTACTTATACATTTCAATATACTCCTCCTGTAATGCTGATTTGATTCACTTTAGATTACAGACTGTTCTCAAGCAACTGAACAACGCCTATGTCCTCCCACAGATGTATGTACTTTAAAAAATTCTTTGAACCCACTGATTACTCTCCTCATACTACAGAGGATTACAAACAAGTTAGCAGTATTTGAGGGGGCAGGTTCACTGCTTTCCTGATGCCAGTGATTCCACGTGCTTGGGGTAGGTAGTTCAAGCAACTGCCTTGCAGGTCAGGTGTTTCAACAAAACCCTAACTGCAGGCACATTTCCAGAACTTTCCTTCACTCCCAGGATCCCTAGATTATTATTTCTGCACCACTTTGCTGTGTACTGCTTGTTAGGTCAAGCCTTTTACTTGGGTATTACCTTATCCTCAAATATAGTATTTTTTCGAAGGACTTTACATTCAACATAGATGAAGTTACTAGTATTTGGTTTTACTCCTTGGAGGACACACCAGTGTTGCAGGTATTAGTCTTGCCTTGCACTTCAGACAGTGGAATTATGCATAGTGACAAATGGCGCATTGGATTTTCATACATCCCTGAGCACTGATCCTTTTGAATCCCATGTATGCCAGAAGGTAGCAAGCAGTTCTCCAGAATATTAAACCACAAAGCATTGCCATTCTTTTTCATAGCAAAAACTACCTCCAATACACGAATAGCTAACCTTTCCACACACAACAGCTTCACTTCCCACTTGATCTCCTGCCATGTTGGAAGGAAATACAGTGCAAGAAGAGATATTAGAATAGAAATGGAAGTTAGCACTGATCATAAGCCGTGAAGTAATAAAGCTGGGGAAACAGAATTCTCTCAAAGCTCCTAACTCCTCTCCCCTCACAAGCAAACAGACAAAAATCAGGAAAAAGTACGTTCATATTACAGTGCATTATTTAAGAAACCAAAAGATTTTTAAAATTGTGAATAATTTTGATTTAAATAAGTGTTCTTAAGTAGTCTCATTTGTAGAATCGATAGTAAGGAGAACAGTCAACAGATACACAACAGGCTTTGGTCTGTATCAGTCCAAAACCTTCTTTTTAAAATGCACATTTTAAAAAAACATATTGATAAGAGCCTACCATTCTTCACAAGGTACCCTTAGGACATCAATAACCATTTTATGATTCATTTAGAGGTAACACTATGGAAGTGACATTCTAAATAAGTGATCTCTTCTTTACTACCACTTCAGAGTGCATTCAGTTTTCATTTCTTAGTTTTGTCCAAGATGGAATAACTGTGCCTAAAAAACAGATCTCCACCGCCAAGTCTATCAGATTCATTTCAGAGATTTCTTCACTTATCTTAGCTCAGGTATTCAAAAAATGAAATAAAAATTCACATAACTGTGACTAGGAGCTTCTCTTTGTGCTGCTTTCACATCAGACTTGTGAACTTACCTGAATGCAAGGACCTGAAAATCAGATCCTGTCTTTTTTTTTCCTTCCCTCTAGTATTTGAGGCTGTTCCTGTCTCTGCTCGCAGTAGAAAAGCTTTATGAGGATTAGAAAAATCGGAGAGTCGCAACATAGGTAAGCTTGTCACTGTCCTGCTCTGCAGAGATATGATTTACTTACAGTCACAGCCATACATAGGGATGTAGAAATGGTGTGCTGCTTTTCCTGAAAGACTGAAATTCTGGAAGAATGACCTTTAAGACATTCCTTATACAGCACATGGAAATAAGAGGGGCGTCCTCAAATTAAAGCTGATAATAGGACTGAACATGGGAAGGATTCATAAACCACCTCATTGGATACAACGAGGAGCATTTTCAAAGACTTCCTTCATGGACTTGGACTTCTGAGTTTCGTTTCACTAACCGAATCAATCCCCTAGATTTGTATGCCTAAATTGCATTTGGTACAAAGAACAGTCTCATTTTTCTTTCAAAACATTGCTAAAAGAGGCACAAGTACCTCGCTGTCAAAAAAGCATGGATTTCTCCTTGGCCTGAAAGAACTAATTTCAAATCTTCCTAACTCCCAGAAAAGTATGATGATGTGGATGCTGCATATTAATGATACCATGACCATACCTCTGCTCATTTCCTGGCTCAAGTGAACATCTCATTGCTGATGATTTCCAATTAAAATAAATCTCCCATTATTTTATTGACTGGCAGGAAGGACTGCTAATAGACTTGCATCCTAACTCAATTAGTACAGTATTTCATGACAAACTTTTCTGGTAAAACATGCAGAGCTTGTTTCCAAAGAGGTCAGTGAGAGAATTCCTGTTTTAATAGTGCAGAGGAACAGACACCATAAATAAACTAACCATCTGGGGATAACAGAGAGCTTAAAAACAATGAAGAAATTTTTGTTTTAACATTTCAAACTGTCTACCATTATTTCCAGTATCACTGTAAACTCCAGAGGAATCCGCTAGTAATCAAAGAATTAAAGACACAGTAAATGGTATTTTCTTAAATCTTTTCTTTTCATATAAATTGGTGATTATCAATTTTCTTCCTTTCAAAGCAGTATATTAAGCAAAATGGAATCACCACTTATTAATTAAGTTCTACTCTTTTAAATCACTAATACAAAATGCTTTACTCATCATATGACTGAAGACTTAAGGCCCCTGTAGTTTATGAATCATCAATAATTAATAGCACAACTATTGTAAACATGGTGACTAATTAGCACAGCAAAATCTTCTTGAATAACTCTTTGTTGTTCCAGAGAAACAACAGCAGCTGGAGCCAGCAAAATGGTATAGCAGTCTTCTAGATGGGCACAGGAAAAACATGCCTGGTAGAGATCTCCCTTTTTCACTGACCAAGAACTGGCCCTGAAAAAGATTGCAATCACACGTGACTTCCATACTGGACCTCTGACTTTCCATTCTCTTGATGTCTTGAATTCCCTTCTGAGACACAGGGCTCACAGCTTTTCTAAAACATCCCCAGCCTGCAGCTGTCACCAACCAGAGTGAACGTCCTCTTCCATTGTTGAGCAATGTTATGTGCCTCTCTTCTTTCCTTCCTTTAACTGTCTCATGTTGTTTAGCAGAACTATACTCCAAACTTTCTTCTCTTTCTCTTTTTTCTTTCTTTTTTTTCTTTCTCTCCTTCTTTCCTGCTTTTCTTCTATCTTTCCTTCTTTCTTTCTGCCTTTGAAATCATTTCTTGTTCATTAACTGATATTCTTGTGTCACCTGAGCTCAGTCTTTCTATGCTTAGGATCTCTCACATGCTTCTTTTGTGAGCACCAACTGTTATAGGGAATATCTTTCTTGTCCTGTTTGGCAATTTACATGTGTTGAAATAAGGACACATTCACAAAATAAAAATGAAATGTTTTCAGAAAGATGCCACCTCAGCCTCAGTAAGACTCTCAATCATAATCTGCCAGTAGCTGGGAGAATAAACAAAACAAATCACTATCTGCTCCTCCCAGGGCTCCTGCTGCTGGAGATCTGGCCCTGAGCTAGATGGCTTTTGGTGTTTAGAGATCTGGTCCTGGCTAGATGGCTTTCCCAGACACCATTCCTCCCTGATTCATTCATTTAATCAGTTGTCTCAGATAATTTTTTTTTCTCACCAACACAGCTACTCATCCAGCAGGGAGGTAGCTCTGTTGTAATGTACTCCTCATAATTCAGAATGTTCCCATCTGACTTTTTACTCATTCTTTTTCTGCAGCTTCCAGTTGATTTGTGGTTTTACTTTCCCAGCTGCTCAGGCCCTGATTTCCTTAGTTCCCACAAAAGGGCTGTAAAACCACTGCTCTCTTCAATGCCAGTCAGCTGCCATCTTCCCAGAGTCCAGAAGAACATTGAACATTCGAATAGCTAAGGTTAACGTAGAATTATGTTGCTTTATTAATTTAAAATGATGATCAAATGCACATAGTGCTTAGAAAAAATAAGACCTTGTTGTTGAGTTAGCTGATTAGCCACTGCAAACTGCAGGCATCCATCCATAAGAGAAGCCTAACCCCTCAGTGTGTCATGAACGTCTTTTACAATGCTTATCAGCAGATGCATGGGAACTAGTAAATAAAAATTAAAAGCATGGAGGACAAGGGGAAATGGTTTTAAACTTAAAAGATGATAGATTTCAATTGGATATAAGGAAAAAGTCTTCCACAGTGAGAGTGGTGAGGCACTGGAGCAGGCTGCCCAGAGAGGTGGTAGATGCCACATCCCAGGAGGCATTCAAGGCCAACCTGGACTATGCTCTGAGCTGTGGATGTCCCTGTTCATTGCAGGGGAATTGGACTAGATGATCTTTAAAGGTTCCTTTAAAGATTAAAGGAAAGAAAATGTAGCTCCTAGACGACAT